AATTCATTTATAAACTTATCCATACCTGTAAAAATGGTGTGTGCCTGTATATTCGGGAATAAATATTATTATCATTATCATTATTATTTTTAGAAAGTAGCTGATGGAAATGCACTTGGGCCTCTTGGTCTCCTAAGGCTACAAGTTCAATGTCGACTGCGAAAGGAACCCATCTTATGGAACTTGGCACTGGCAACCCTCAGACAAATTTTCGAACAATTCAGTCGTGTATTTTTCGTCAACTTTTCAGTGGCTTCATACGGCCTGACCCCGTGTTCGGGGGTATCTTCTTCCCCCTGATTCTTCAGAACCACGACTTTAGCTTGGGACGCAACCACAGGCGCCGAATAAAACCTGTTTGAGGGCTCAAGTCTAAAACATAGGCCGAATGACTGGTTACGCTTGACCTAAACCTCCTGGGATATGGAAGGCTGGGAGGGGACTTGATGGTGGCTCACAAAATCCCTAGCACTCCCAGACGCTAATTCCCTGGCCTACCAAACCCTCGCCATAGCACTTATCAGACCTTGAAATGCTTTCTGCGAAAGTGGCCCGCGATATTTCAAAAGCCGGCTTGATATTTGTTTGAGATGTGGGTGGAATTTGCTCAAAACCAACCGAATTTTTACGTTCTAACCTCCACTTTTGGCTGTCTCTTTGCTCCTACCAGTTTCCATTTTCAGGTATAAGGATGGTATGCCGGTTGGCCTGCGTTAATGCTTGCGGAAGATATCTCTGTGAAGATCTACTTTACCCTTCAACGCGCCGACAGAAAGTCCTGATACTACTTGGTGAGGTAAGAAATTCCAGTCGTTGACTACATAATGGGAGAAACGCAGATTAACGTTAAGTTGATCGGATCACGGTTTTTGAATTTCCTTGTGGTATCCCCGGAAATGGTCAGTCCTAGCAGGGAAAAGATAGGATGTATTAGTACCAAAGTCATCATTAAGAATACGAAATGCCGGCATAAGATCGCCCCGTTTCCTATGGTAAGACAGTGGGAACAAGTCTGGCTGATCTAGCCATTCCTCGTAGGACAGATTCGAAGGGGCTGCCATCAGCTTAGTACCTGCCCTCTGAACACGCCCGAGTACGTCAGCATCTTCTTTTAGGCATGGATTGGCCACCTGAGTGTGGTATTCCAAGTGAGATCTAACGTAAGTGGAATAGAGTATTCTGAACATATCCCGATCAGAACTTTTGAAAGCTCTGCGTATGGACCATAATACGCGGGTTAACAAATAGGTTAATAACCACAAGAACTAGTTATCCATGGATTCTGGACGAGAAGGCCAGTTAAGTGAAAGCTTCTTCCCTTACGTCAGCAACCATTCGAACCGTTTGAACTACAGAAAACCTGCTTCCTCTCAACTTGAAGAAGTGTCGGATAATGATAGCTGGCAAACACAAGAACATTCATAGTTCTTACCCTCTGGGTGAAATAAACACCTGTCACTCTAGCATGGGACAAGATCTGGGAGTTTCATTAGGCTACAAACCAGGGGCCTTAGTCCGCTGTCACCTTCCGGCCAAAAAGGCCTGTGAAGTTCTGGGGTTTCTCCTGCGAACTCCTCTATTCACCACAGTGTATGCTCTGTACATTCACCTTCATGTGGAGAAAGATTCGCCTGTGGTGTCCCCATACTTGAAGGACATAGTCATCCTAGAAAGGGTATAGAGAAGAGCTACAAAGAGAGTGATTGGGTTACGGCACTAACCGTCTCCAGACGGCGCAGTTGCTCTTAGGCTGTATCCAGTACAATAGCGAGGATCAGAGGGGATATGATCATGGTTTACCACATTGCCCATAATCCCCTCCATCTTAGCAGATCCCTTCCAAGCTCGAATCAGAAATCAGACCTGAGTGATCACCAGTCGAGAACAAAGCATGAGAGAGCACATACAGAGATCCATGCTAACTAATTTGCGATTAGAGTCTGTAAACTGCAGAACTCCTCCTTTCGGCAATTGTTACAACCCAGTCCCCTGATGCTTTTAAGAGGGGGTTAAACGCACGCCTTGAGCCCTACGGTACCGATGGGCTGTACTCGAGAAGCCTTCCGTCATCTGCAGATCGGGTGCAATAATACTACCCTGAGATCAGATCAGTTAACAGGCAGAACCCAAAATGCCACTGGCCCATGGCCCTTCTTCCAGTGGTGTCAAAAGTAATGGAGAGCCTGGTAGACGGCCATGTCAGGGAGTACTTAGAAAAGAGGGAAGCACTTAGTGGTGCTCGATATGGTTTCAGAAACAGCAGGTCCTGTGTCACAAGCATTCCGGCGTCAGGTGATAAGTGGACGGCATGCTAGAACCTCCAAATTCCTGTCCATATTATTTTCCTGGATTTTGCTAAGTCCTTCGACACAGTTCCACACACCGCTCTTACCCACGGAATAGCAAGGTTGGGCATCAAGGGACAAGTGCTTTCATGGTTGCAGGACTATCTAGATGGCAGACAGTTCTGCACAAAAGCCAACAGAGTTTGCTCGACTAGGAGGACATCATCATCTGGTGCATCACAAGGGGCGATTCTGGGTCCACTGCTGTTTCTTCTTTTTGTGAACGACCTCCCACTGAATCTAAGCCCCCAAATTCTACTCTACACTGATGATGTTAAGTTATGATGAGCTGTGACGTCAGAAACAGGATAAGTGCACTGCAGAGTGACCCCGCAATACTTGCAGAGTGGGTGAATATCAGTGGACCTGCATTTAACCTAGATAAGTGCCAAGCCATGTTTCTCTGCACCCCAGACTCTCAGAAGGTATCCTATTCTCTCTGTGCAACACAACTTTCCCACACTACCACGGATAAAGACCTGAGACTAATACTGACTGACGAACTAGAGACTGGCTCCAATCATCCAGGAGACGCCTGCAGAGCCTACGCAGTACTGCACTTCATAAGCAGACGACTAGGTGGCCTGACACCGCAGCCCTTTTGAAGGTGTACAAGACTTACATACAACCTCACTTAGAGGCCCACAACGTCACTGCACCACCCCATCTGAAAAGAGACATGAATTTCCTGGAGAAAGTCCGAAGGCGAGCTACAAAGGGTGTCTTGGGAATGAAGCGAAAGCCCTTTGAGGACAGGCTGAGAGATCGAGGACTCTACTCTCTAAGCTACTGGAGATTACATGGTGACTTGGTAACGGCTTACAAAATACTAAGTAACCCGAGTCATCTAAACAGTGGAGTCCTGCCAAACGGCCATTATGGCGATCCTCGTAGTAACCCAAGGAGAACCGCCCATCAAAGGGCGGAAACCCGTGTGCGGTCACATCTCCTCTGTCTGCAAGTTTGCGGCCACTGGAAAGCATTGCCTGCCGAGATTGCTACTGCTCCGTCTGTTGACAGCTTCAAGAAGAGGTTGGAGAGTTATGCAGCGACGCACAGTTCGCGCTCATCCAACCAGGATATGGGCTACGCTGACACGACTTACTAACTCGGTACGGCCAACCGTCACTGAAAACTTTGTAAAAGCACTATCACTGAGAACTTGGCTCAACCTTATACCTTCCTGTAGACGTCCCCTCAAGTTACAGTCTCCTACTAAAAGAATTCCTACAATCCTATTCGTCATATCATGCTATTTATTATTCTTCCCTCTGACTCTACGCTCCCAAACCTTAACAAAACCTCTCGCTATCACCTATTCCCCATAAACCTACAAATGTTTCTTCTTCCGTGCTGTTTCCTTTTTCCCTTTTCTTTTTCTATTTTGTCTTTTTCTGCACCTATTTTTCATCTCCTTTTTACAACCAGTCCGAACAGTTTTCTGCTAGCACGACACTTAAGGAACCCATTTGCACCACAGTCCTGGGGAGAAAAAACAAACAAACAAAAAACATTCCCTACAAATCTAAACAAAACCCAACCGCCCGTAGGGTTAACCAGAGGTACAGCAGCCGAGTGGGTAGACCTACTGTATTGGAATCCACCAAAGACCTGGAACCGTTCTGCCAGATTTAGAAGCTAGGGAGAAGAAATCAATTGGTTTACACTAGCTGGTAAAAGGATACTGGAAATTGGAACAGTCGATTATCTCCATCCTTTCAGGTTTTTCGGGACCAGGAAGATAATTGTGACCATTCCAAATCCAGAACGTAATCCAATAAGATAGACGTAGTACCCAAGGAACCATCGTTCACTAATTCTATAACACATAGTGTGAAGTTTGTACCATTTTTCTGTTTGACCTAATAGAATGCTTAGGACGATGAGCGCGGGATTACATTCCGCGGTCATAATGAGTGCAATACATGTGAGGTGGGTGTGTTACAGTTCTTAAACCTAGTTACGCTATCCTAAGGATTGCATCAAGTTCAAAATCTGCTCCTACTTTACTTTGTGTAGTTGTTTTCCTGTTCATGGAGGCCTTATTTACATAAGTCTAATGTCACTCACGTATACGGCCTTATAAATATTTGTAATGCCGTGTATATGAGTGATATATATATATATATATATATATATATATATATAAACCAATAAATTTATTATCGACCTTATATTGTATGTAAATACGATGGTCAAGATCTGGAAATGCAGTGTTTGCAAGGTCTCTATGTTTCATGTCTTCACTTGTGGATTATCAGAACTTCGTATGTATCTACCAGAAAGCATCTGGAGATATTCTGAGCAAGACGTGGTGCAAATGCATGATGTCACTCACTATTGATTCAAGCAGTGTCGAAGGATTATAAACTGTCTAGTCTGAGAGTACCATCAGTAGCAGGAGTTGGCAACTTTGGTAACACGGTTCACTTAATTTTAATGGAGAAATGCATTAGATATGTTGGACTCATTTTGATTGTGTATTAATCTACTGTTGCATTATCCTACTTTTTGTGATTGTTGATTCTTGGTTTTTCTATTCTGTAATATTAGGAATTGCGTCAATGTGGGGAAATCTACTGTCTCTGTAAAGGGTCATTTTTCGCCACTAATTTGACGTGCTTAACGATACATTTTTGGAGACGTGTTACATAAATGGACGAAGACGTTGTATCTCTCACAAAAAAATACATTGGAGATGCTTATATGAAAAGATGGCAAGAGAGATCTAGTAAAAAGAAAAAAAAACTTATGACTGTGTTCGATCAGGTAAGAGTTTTAGCCACAATCGTTGATATAATAGATAGACTAAATTGGTTATTGAACTTTTGTAGTGAGTGTGTGATTGTATTTTACTAATTAGTTAACCGATAAGGTTTTTCTATACATGCAGTGTGTAAATACCGTGTAGAAAAAGGAGTTAGGATTGATTCAATCGAATATTTGGTTTTTTGAGGTTTAAATTAAGCCCATTAATCTTTGATGAGTATCGGTCGTCACATAAATTTTGTTCGCTTGACAAATTTGAACACAGCAAGAAAGTATGCAGGTATCTGATGGAAATGGCTTCAAATGGAGATACTTTTGGACTCTTTTAAACAATACAAAAACAAAACTTCCAATTGTGCTATGCTTTGTGGAAGCTCTAGCGATCGGACATTCTAAACCTGACGTTTTTCCATGAACAGAGTTTGTAATTAATATTTCTTTGCCGTAGTAGTTGAATGTTATTTGGTTACATCCAGTTCTGATCACAGTTATTTTGATATTGTCTGATTACTCAACCGTTTAACAACTCCCTCCTTTAAATCTTTGCTCCTTTGATCCCCCTTTCTTTGTAAAAAGAATCCAAAACTGAAGACCGAATCGTATATAAATCATCAATCTTAGCTAAGATACATAAACTCTGTTTTATCCTACCTTTTCGGATCACTTATATGTATAAAGTTATAAAATAACCTTAGTGGATCTATCTAAGCTTTATCACTAGTCGTGTTACAACAAGGAGTAAAGTGGGAAGTCAACCCAACGCTAGCCGTAAATGGCTGGGGAATATGCAGTTTATATACGAAGCGACCTGATTGACTTTTTTTTAACCTGTAAGGTATATTAGTTGCATGCTTAAGGTCGAGTTTACTGCAAACCTGTTCACCTTGTGTGACTAAAGACTTTGAAAAATGATGAGTAAAGGTAGAGGACGTAAAAAGGCTACAAGCTGATGGAGGGTTGCTACATCAACTGACGTCAGTGTGACATATTTCTCGTGTTTAGCCGCCGTCTACTTCGGTGAGCTGAAGTTGGTTTGGGTTGGAAGGAAGCTAGTGATGACCGTTTAAAAATGTCTCCTATCCATAAGCTCTCTGGTGTTTATTGTCATCTGTGTGCAGGTTCCTTGTGTTGAGTTGTCAAAACATGAGAAATAGGAGGTTGGAGGAGACTTCAGGTGATATGGCTGAGAATTGACCGTACTGTCACAGATGTATCCATGCTTTATCTTCATCTCATTTCTTATATCACACTTCATTCGCTGTGACCACTCTTCTTTTCACCTCATGACTTCGTTTGATTAGTTTTTTTGCCTTCACAACTTTTTTATTTGTCCGACTTCCTTTTTTTTTCCAGCTTGATATCCTAGTGTGTAGTATGGTAGCTTGAACCATCACTCCAATAATCCCAAGTCCTGTTCTAATGTTGTGTCTGCCATTAGTGGTGCGTTTTCTGTCAGTTGTTGGTCGACATCAGAACTGAGTGACTAAGTCATTCAGATCAAAACTGCCTCGGATAAGACTAGATTTTGTGTGCAAATCAGCCACTGAATCGTATCCTGTGTGGTTAATCGAAGCTCATGAATCACTTTTGTAGTATAATAATCAAACTAAGTGACATAACACTGTCAAATTTTTCCAGGAGAATGGAATGGAATACTCTAGATTTGGTTTCTTATGTTAACTTGATACTACCTTATCCAATTTCAGCTTTAATCGAAGCATCAAATAAAGGTACGGAAAATCTACTACTGAAGAGTCTTGTTGTTTGCGTACATGAATTCAAGATTAAAATAGCTTGACTTTAACTATGTTCTTCATTCGCAGTAAAACTTCAAGACAAGATTTTGTAACAGTCATTAAAATCTCGTACCTTTAGTTCCCTTGATGAATCAACAATCGAACGTGCGGGAGAGGAGGTTTTACTTCTTAAACTTCAGGATTCAACGTACTACAGATACAGATAATACTAAGATACGAAGAAATATTTGTGGAGGTGTGTGACATAAAATTTGTCTTAATTTCACTTCGATTTATCCAATAAACTTGACAAAGAGGAATGCTTTATGATTCTCACAAAAGCTTTGCTCCAAGAAAAGGCTTGATAAAGAACTTGCAGTTTCTGAACAATATTTGCGTGAAATTTGCAACAAATAGTCCCTTATAAGAATTTAATGCAATCAGAAGATGATGTTTATCTGGGCAATGTGTGTGTGTGTGTGTGGCGTATTCGTGCATTACATGCAGTTTGTTTTTATACCATACCTACCTTGGTAAACCTTGTTTTCTTACTGAGATTAGGATGAATTGTATCACTTTTCCTTTTTTGTTTTCACGTATCCTGATTTTTAATCCCCTATTAACTTAATTGTTGTATTTGCCCTTGTATCCTTTGGTTTAGTGTGAATGTATGATGAGATTGTTCTACATGTATTGCACAAATACATCACACACACACATACACACAGATTGTTAAGATAAACTCTGTCTTCTAACTACACTATCTAAACTTACGTCAAGATAAATATCTGCAGAAATTCATCAGTAAGTGCGTAAAATATAACCTAAAATCGTAAAATGTTACAGTAAAAAAAGCCTGTTTCACTACAAAATTGGCTATAAAAGTTATCAAATTTCTGAAAGAACCAAGTGTAAAATAAGTGCTACAGTAAAGAGAACTTATCTAGCTTTTATCCCACTTGCACTCTGTCACACTAACCGCGCTCGAAGTACTATCAGAAGTTGATAAGCCGCCTTTCTGTGTTACCTTCAATTGCGTCTATCAGTTCATATGTGCGTGCCAGATAAAATAAATGTACTAAAGGTATGGAAGAAAATGTTCATATTTGTACGACTGAACTCACTGAATGATGTGGGATTATCATTATTATGATTATTTGTCCTTTAGGTTCCTAGTGGAACATAGGGCTTCACTAGCATGCCTCCATTGCACTCTCTTCTCCGCAGTCTTTTGAACCTCGCTCCACGACTGCCCACAACCTTACATTTCTTCCTAACATGGTCTCCTTCATGTCACTCTTGCCTCGGGCAACCAACTCTTTTCCCCTTTGGATTCCACTCGAATGCCAGACCTGACGCGTGATGTCCCCAACCGGTCTTCTCAGTGTATGCTCAATCCAATCCATCTCCACTTTCTTCCGCATATCTGTCGGGTGATAGGTTCTTGGTTGGTTCGTTCCCAGAGTTCCTTGTTGCTTATTCTTTCTGGCCATCTGATCTTCAGTGTCAGTATCGAGTGAGCGTAGGCGGCAGCTGTTGATGAATGTCTGTAGTTTGTTGGAAATGCTTTTCGTGACGCGCCGAATTTCTGAACCATATAGCAGAACTGACTTGACATTGTTGTTGAAAATCCGGATCTTGTTCTTTGGGCTGAGTGCGGTAGATCTCCACAGTGATTTCAGATTGATGAAAGCCTGTCTTGCTTTTCCGATCCTGGTTTTGACATCCTCGTTTGTGCCTATGCCGCCTGTAGTTGAAACGATGCTGACTAAGTAGGTAGGTGAGAATACTTCATTTAGGTTTCTCTCGTAACTCGGAGTTTTTATTAAATTTCGTTTGTATTGAAAGCAGACGAAGTTGACAAACTGAAGAAGTTATCGGAAGGAATATATAGATATATGCATGCATTAATCAACTGTATACTAAGATACTGCCTTTTAAAAATATGGACAGTATTATGTAGTGATTCATACGCATAGAAGTGAATACTTGACATTATGTAGGATAGCAATGAAGTTGGTCATTTATAGGGAAGTACAACAAACTAGTGTGCAAACGAATCTTCTGGCTAAGGAAAATTCAAGTTATGAGAATGCTTGAGTTGTATAAAAGATCAAAAGAATAACAGTAGCCTGACAGGTGAACCAAAAAATCTTTGAGATGAAACATAAAAAGCGGATGAAGTGGTAACAATAATAGTAATAAAAGCAATAGTAGTAACAATAACAGAGAGGATAATAACCGAATAGTAAAGAAATAATGATGAGACATATTTAGGAAGACAACAACTATCAGGGAAGAGAGAAATTGAAAACGTTCTGAAGTGATAGAAACGATTTGTAGCTCAAAATGAGCATGGTGACGATGATTTCACGTTGTCACTAAGTGACATTCTTAGCAAGCCTGATAATGAACCATCTACAACAAATACCAAAGCTCGAAGAACACTGAACCATCATCAGAAATTAATAACTCTTCTGTATGCATAAGTAGGACTTGATTGGATTATTTAGCTATCGCTTCAGCAAACCGCAGTAATGCAAGGTTCGTCTGTTCATCGAACGATTTAAGGATGTGGACATCATGCCCGCTTTCGATAACAATATGAACTAAGATGCTGTCGAAAATTTTTGAACGTTTTAGTCCCATACTGATTTAAAATGGAAAGCTCAGTGATGCCTTTGAAGTGAAGACAGGAGTAAGAAAGGTTGCCACTAACTGTCATCGATCATCTTCCTGATTGTGGTCGACTCGACTGGATCATGCAACAAACTGAGAAGCTATGAGAAGATGGGCATACGCTGGCTGGACCGATGAAAAGACCCGAGAAGAAGACTTGGACTTCACCGATGACTTATGTCTAATGTCTTGTCGCACAAACTCGAAGATCTACAGGGGAAAACTAACAAGTTGGCAGGAGAGGCGAGACTATGCAGCGAACACGGGACTTCCTCCAAGTGAACTTGGAGAAGGTACCCAACCAACAACAACAACGAGCACCAATCACCGTCAACGGGAGAAATCTAAACGAAGTTGTTTCTTTCACTTTACCTGCCTAAGCAATATCATTTCAACTACCGACAGCACAGGCACAGATGAAGATGTCAAAGTCAGCCAGGATCGGAAAGATAGCAAGACAGACCTTCCTTCATTAATCTGAAATCAGTGTGGAGATCTACTGCACTGAACTCCATTACACACAACATAAAGCATAAACAAGATCCGGATTTTCAACACTGACGTCAGTCAAGTTAGTGTTTCTATATGATGGTTGAGAGACTTGGCGTGTTACGGAAATCATTTCCAACAAACTGCAGACATACATCAACAGCTGCCGCCTACGTTCACTCGATACTGACACTGAAGATCAGATGGCCAGAATAATAAGAATAAGCAACAAGGATCTCTGGCTGGCTGACTGACTGGCTGACAACGAGCCAACCAACCAACGACCTATCGCCGAAAAAATACGCTGAAGAAGAAAGTGGTGATAGATTGGATTATATTGGAAATACACTGAGGAGACCGTTTTGGAACATCACGCATCAGGCCAGGTCCTCGAGTGGAACCCGAATGGGAAACGACGAGTTGGGCATCCAAGGCGAGGGTGACATGGAGGAGATCGTGTTGGGAAGAAATAAAAGCTTGTGGGCAGTCGTGGAGCCAGGTTAAAAAGACTTCAGAGAAGAGAGTGAAATGACGACGTGGTAGTGAGCCCTATATTCCACTAGGAACCCAAAGGACAAATAAATAAATAAAAATTATTAACAAACTGATAGGCGAAATCTCAGTACTGCTGACGAGTAATTTCTCAATAGGTGCATATTACTGTAGAACATGAAGATGAAGATTTCGGAAAGAATGTTCTTTGTTCACTGAAATGGTTTTTGAATTACAATGCGTATATTAGCACACTTTATTGCTGAGATTGTTTTAGTCTGTTAGCAGTTTAGTAAAATTCGTGGAAGACAATGAAGTTATCTTATTCAACTTCAATATTTATTCTTCCTTTACTAAAATATGTAAACCTCTTCATTTATTGTATGAAATATATGTATATTATGAAGTTATAGATAGTAGAGTTGACTGTCTTACTTTTTTAGTTAAACATTGAATAAAGTAGTGGTGTTACTGCTGTTTTTCATCCAACTGTATATTTTCTTTAATTCATCTAATTAATATAGGGGCGATTACCCGAAATCGGATTTTCTGAGACAGATATTGAGGCATTGTTTCTTCAAATATCATCTTTAGATTCAAATAACTGGGAAAATTCTGTAGGTGTTGGTGAACGTGAGGGAAGGGTACTTGTGGATTTTATTCGTCGTCGTCATTACGGGTAAGTTATGAAAATCAATTTTTAAACATTTCTATACATAAGAAGTTAGAAATACTTCACCATTCCGTGACTCTCTTCCGCCTTGATTGGTATCTTCCCTCAAATATGTATGCCTAAACTCAAGTACAAAACTTATATAGCTTTCCACTATGCTTTAGAGTATGCTAAGCTCATTTTAATGATCGATGGAGTTTTTATTGCAAGCAGATTTGTTAATACTTGGTGTTGTAAGTTAATATTAGACTGTGCTAGATTTAAAGCTGTCTGTTGATCAACCAAAAGTGTAAACGAGGATTAGGTGCACTTTCAATGGGCAAAAAGAATGATGAATAGAATGGTTTGCTTTTTCAGGAATATTACTACAAGTGAGCACTTTTTCTACTACTTTATTGCAAGCTGTTCATGCATGTTGATCGCACCTTGTAATCGCATCTAACGATACTCAGAAGTTGTCTCGGTTTATTTGGTAGAGCTGTGGTTCATACGTCTAAGCACTCGAATCCCAACCAGTGCATCACAGGCTTGAATACACTGAGTGATAATTGAAGGTGAAGTGAAGATTTGGGTCGCGAAAGGATTCGAACCAGTAACCATCGGGTTTTCAGCCCAGTACTCTACCAACTGAAAAAAACTAGAACTGATTGCTGACCAGATTTTTATTTCACTACCGTCACCAAGGATTTTTCCCGTCTGCCATGTGACTTTATCATACATTACCTATCCAGTCAGAAGTTCGATCAGAAAGACTATTGTCAAGTCAAGACCTTTAATCTCAATCCAGATCTATTTAAATTGGCGAGGTGGAGCAAATTTTCATTTCACTTTCAATCATCCCCCAGATTCATACAAGTCTGCTAAATCATAGTTATCGCAGGTGGTCAAACTGGCAAATATGTATGTTGTGTTTAGTTATATCTACATAACTGGATAGTGTGTAACCTTAACCTAATCACAACTAAATATTTCTTCTACTCAGGTAAATATGGAGGATTTGGTCAAAGGTCTCTTGGTGAGGTGATTGCTCAGTAGTTTTTATCCGTCAGGTTTTATGCCTATACTTTTCGATTTCCAACTATGGTACAGCCATTGAAGTCTTGTTGATGGTCTACTAGTGTATGAACTCATAAGCGATTGTTGAGTTAGATCCCATACTTATCTGGAAAATCAGAATGCCCTGGGTTCAGGTGCAAATTTAGAGTCCATCGCTATGAAAATAATTTATCATTTATTCATTGTTCTAAGTATGTGTAAAGTACTTTATGGATGCGCATAGGTGCAGTGCGATAGGATGGTGAAGTGCTATTCATGTCCATTGTCGACTTAGTTATTCTCTTTTTTATGGGAGTACATCAGCAAAGTAAACTGAAATACACTCCTAATACATCTTTGTTTCTTTTTTTAATTATCTTAAATGTTGTAATTCAGATTTGCACATGGTATTGGACGATCTGGAGATGTGACTGCAATTCAGCCTAAAGCGCCTGGTTCAAGTCTAGTTTGCCGATTGACTAACCGATTACTACTCGATTGGCTAAGAAAATCAGGTAGGTCACTTTGAAAATTTCAACTGTTTTAAATTCTATGGATTACCACTGTTTATATTTATCTTATCTATTGTGTAGTCTATGGAATGGGAAGTTATCAAGAAATTGAAAGCTTGTTTTCGTTTTGCATTCATGATTTAAGGCTTAGCGAGTGAGTACCTTAATACTCGAAGGACCAGAATAGATATGGTACGAATCAATAGTTGAGGACTTTTTCTTTCACGGTCACGATGGCACAGATTTATGCACTCTTTATCATCTCAAAGTCTTGAGTATTTTGATCGATCTTCATTTGTTTATCCTCTATCGTTTCTTGAGTTTCTATCCACCCCAATATCATATTTTGTCTCCGTTTCTTCTTTGCATAATGCTTTGATTTATGCCAACTTGAAACGATACACTTCTTTGTTGGGTTTTGCGTTGATTTATCTGTCTGTCTGGCAGTCAGTGAATCGAAACAGATGCAACTGAATAACTCCTTGCTCAGTTGGCTTTTGCCAAATTACGCCATCTGTAGCGTCGTCGCGGTGTCCTATTCTCTACTAAGGGTTGAGTGTACTATGTTGCAGTCCACTGTGTTTTACTGTATGAGTGTGAAATAGCCATTAAAGGTCGAAGACATCAGAAGGCTTCAGGTGATTGACCACCGTTACCTTCGTAGTATAAGTCATGTTTCGTGGTGTTACTACGTGAATAACCCATAAGTCTGACGTTGAGTTTCAGGCAGGAGAGGTAAGATAGTTGAAGTTGTGAACCTTCACCGACTGAGATGGTTGGGATATGTGTTACGTATGCTTAGCTACCGTGTAGGACCATTCATACTGGGTGATTGGGGTCTGCGAGTAGTTGTAGACTGTATTTGGTATAACTTAGGTTCGATATCAGTGGCGCAGATATATACACACATTATCGTCATCTCAACCGCTATACTCAGTCTCATCATCTCATCCCTCCTTCCTCTCGTTTACTACTTTCTACTTCCTCTCCTTTTGATAGATTTTCCTTTCTTTCTTCATCTTCCATTTTATTGCTTTGTTACTTGGTGTGATGATTTGTGATGTTGCAAGTTGGATGGTTACTCAGTAATGCCTGGTCCCATGTTAATCTTGATGATGGTGATGATAGCACTGATGAATAACTACTTCGTTGTCAATTCATGATAAAGTGTAAACCGTATCCAGTAAGTTCGGTGATCAGTATGCAAATTACTTAAAAATTGCATGATTCATTTTGACATTTCCTATCGTTTATTGGTTTTCCTACTACTGCAGTGTCATCAGGATTTCCGTGTGTGAAAGTATTCAGGAAAGGATAGAAAGTGTGTTCTCTGGCACAAAAGTATCACTGATTTGCCAAACAGATCCATTTGGTCTAAACAATTCAGCTTTATGAATTACATTTGTCTGCTTATAGAATTGACGACCTTGATCCTAAGCAAGTGAAATAGTCATTTGCTAAGTTTCCAGATAAACGTGTGTAGTTCTAAAAATAAATGATATACTCTCTTCGAAGGGATAACTTTGCTTATGTTTAATCCTTATAAATGTAGTTACTGCGAATTACTGTTGGGTATTCATGTGACATTGAGCAGTTTTCTCAGTCAGTACTCACTAACTTTCAGTGAGTTGACTGGTATTATCGTTTGGTGAAAACCGCCTATAAGTTTATTAGTTTTCTTTATTCTTTCACCATCGAAGAATAAGGTCGTGTGAGGCAGTAGCTGACTAAGTTTAGGCTTTATCTGTATCTCCATTAACGTGTTATGTGCCTATTAAAAACCTGACTGTACTGCCCAACTATGTTTATTCTAATCATTTAAGCCTTTGAAACGTGGTTATGAGTGATAGAAGACATACAAAACCTTCATGTATTTTACTATCGATAATGATAAACCACTGTATTCTTGTAGATCCAGCCGATGTTCGTCATACAGAACTATGTGGTAAATCTTCTGACTGTTTAGTTGTTCAATGTCTCTTACATGTGCTTAGTTGATGAATACTCTATCACAATTATGTGTTCAGATAAACTACGCCCTCTAATTACTTTATCCAAATAATTATATGTATCATGTCGCACTTCCATAATGTGGAAAAAACTACCGAGTCTAGCAGTGACCTTTTTGTTTGCAATTCAGATACACCGGGAAATATGTACCCAACCGACGGATACTAATTTGACTTGATTATCAAGCTTGCGTATCACAACGACCCAACAAGCTATTCTTAAAAGGTCTGTTGGATAGTGGTAAGACAAAGCAGTTACCTTCATAGTATAAATAAGTTATGGTGTGGTGGAGGATCCGAAGGCAAAATCGTACTGTTGACTTGATGGGGGTGTGTTACCAGTACTTTGTTTGCCGCGAATAACCAGCAGTTCATGCTGATGCTTCCTTCCTGGTGGGAAGGGGGAGGGTAGAAAAAGGTTGGACCCGAATATGGCACATTTCCCCCCGACCTGTGGTTTTCCAGGACCAGTGGTACTAGTTTTCCTTATTCTGCTGTAACACAATCAAATCTCAATCCGAAATCCTTACAAAGGCCATGTGTGACCGGGTTCTACTATTACGCATCACTAATACTGGTCCATTTTTTCTATCGGATACGTTACGGAAACAACTTCCACGGTGTGAGCAATCGCGAAGTACTGACAACCCGCAGGCTTCTAGCAGTGTACGAAACCCAGTCAGTCGTAACCTATCTTCACCTTTGGCTCCTCTTCTACTTTCACTTCTTGATGCCAATATCAAGCTTCTTACAGTTTCCTCAACATCTTGCTTTGCAACCATTGTCAATGGTCTAAGCCAGTGAAACATCATTCCTAGTCTCCTAGGCCTCTGTGGATTCTCTAGGTCAGCGTCTAAACTCTATGCTGAAGCGGACAACAGACGTCACCAGCCGAGAGTCTAGGACCTCGAGTCATGGACATATGCTGTTTCGGAGACACATATACAGGACCCGAGTATAGTTATTCACTCGATGTCGGCTGGTCAGTGCAACGAATCTACAAAATACATTTCACGAGTGTCCGAAGATCCGATAACTAGCTTTCGGGGACTTGCCGATGTAGTTATAGCATTTGATCCCTGAGCAGGAAGTGCTGGATGCCAGTAAGCAGTCATCTCTGTACTGTCTAGATGAATGGATCTGTGAGGACTGGGATGGATCATGACACTCAGCTACCATATGCATGCTCGTGCGCTAGACAATGAGCCATACGTATTGCATGAGGGCTAGTGATACTACTACCTGGCTATCTACACCTCAGTAGACGGGGTTCAAACCCGAGACTCCTCCGTAGGAAGCAAAGTGCCAAGACTGAGTCACAGCTGCAGTACGGATGATGCAAAGGATGAGTTCTACCAAAAGCTGTCAATTTTTTTCACACAAAGATCAACATTAAGACATAGTCACAGCAGTAGGCAACTTCAATGCTCAAGTAGAGAAGGTGAGTCAATCGGAAAGGCATGTAGAATGCATCTTCGGTATCCTATCCCGATGAGCTGATCGAGCTGTGATCGTGATTCACAATTCTGTTGTAATCTGAGTATGTCTAGCATACTTTTTACATCTATCAGGATTGGTTTGCAACTACTTGTTTAAGGATTAGGAGTGAGGTAGTGTAATGCTTTGACCACCTCACATACTTAGGAAGTCACATCAGCCTGGACGGATCGGTTACTGACAGAATCCAAGCTTGGATACAGAAGGTCCATTTCGCATTCGCTTAACTTCTGGTGTCGATAGGCGAGATATCCGACTGTTTATCAGAGAACGAGTATACTGCACTGCATTTCGTCCTGTCGTGTTATACAGATGTGGAACATGACCATTAAGAGTAGAAGATATGAAGTGGTTACAAGTCATTGATAATAGGTGTCTTCGTAGCATTGCTCGCATATGTTGGAATCAGGTGAAAGGTACTAGACAAGGAAGATAAAATCAGTTGGTGATGCTGTAAACATTCATCGACTCAGGTGCCTTGAGCTTGTGTTGCACATGTCGAGTCACTACCTACCTTGAGGGGTTGGAAGGGGGTTCAGGGTGGTCAGACTAAAACATGGCACTAGTGCATGAATTCTCTAACTGTTAGTCTGAGCCGTATGTGGAGGTGTAGACTGTCTGTTTGAAGTCCTCGAGACGATGTAAATCAATAGTTGAAGACCTTTGTGACATAACTGAAAATCAATCACAATGGTGCAAATGTGTTCCCTCTTTGATGTCTTCTAAAGCTTGAGTATTTTCACTAACCTTCATTTTTAAACTGTGTTTCTTCCGATATCCCTTTTTCTACTTTGCTATCAGTCTTTTTCTTGTTCTTTGCATGATTCTGTGGAGTTTTTCAGCTTCAATAGAGACATTTTTATGTGAAGTTCTACGTTGGTTTTGTCTGATAATCTATCGGGTAATATTATTTTAGTTGTATGTACATTTTGTGGTGAATTACAATTTTTTTTACGTAAACTGAATAATTTGTTCAACCGGGTACATATTTATATACTAGGCTATATGTTATCTGCATTTTATACCAAAGTTTATAATACTCCCCGAATGCCAAAGTAGGTAGAATAGGGCCTTAACCCAGGTGTAGGCATACTAGTTTACTGCAAAGATTGAAGTAATTTCATGGTGTATTTGATTGGATCTTGAATTTGTTTTCGAGAAGTTTAATAGTTATGAGATTCGTTTTTTTTTGCTTAACTCTATTGCTCTCAGCACTAACTGGTTGTTAACATAGTATGGTATTCATTGGTTCATATGGTGATTGTGATTAGTGTTCTTATATTTTACATATTACAACTCAATCATAATAATGTTTACGCTCATGATTCGCAATATTGCATATGAACAACTTTGCAGAGTGATAGATGTGACGGAAAGCATAAAAACTTTAGCAGTGGATCATCCCGTTACCAAAATGAGACTGTCATGCAGAGTAGAAAGGAGGAAAATATATAGTAATAGTGGTGAATGGAGATGAAGAGCAGCTATTGCGAAACATCTCAATAGAATATAGAATCCAGTTTAGAGGTTTGTTGGGATTTATTGATTTCAAATTGGTATTCATCGTAGACTGACAATAGTTGAAAGAACATTGAAAACCTGGAAGAACCTAACAGTTGTTTCGTCCTCAGCAGTGCACACCCATTATCCGCAACTGTTGTTGGGTCGGCAGATATTTTGTTTTCCCCCCTTTATGATGTTTAGGTCCTTTTAAATAGAGCTTATAGGATGACAATTCCATCCTAATTTAGGGGTTTGTGGAGATTTATTGATTTTAAGCTTGTATTCATCATAGACTGACATCAGTTGACCTTTTTCGTAAATTTTCACATAAATAGTTCGACAAGTCCATGTGTGATCAGATTGTTCGAAATGTATTACGCTAATACATCGCATGTTTCAGATAATCTTCGTCTTCTCATTACGCTGTTTAAATTTATCAAAGGGACCAGTTACTTTAAACCTGAGGGCACTGGACAGCTATTTCTTCCTAGTACGGGGCTCCTCAGCAGTGCGTACTCATGACTCACCATGGATCGAGCCCAGAACCTCCAGGTTCTGTGACCAGCGCATGAGAAGTCGTGACCTGTGTAGCAAACCTGGTGGCCGGGAGGACAAATACTCAATGATGACATTGAGTAATGGTCGTGCTATATCGTGAACTGACAGAAGTAGGAAATATGGACCACTGGATTCCGACCCAGTGGCTGAATGTTAACGTGGTGGTCACGGGACCTGGAGGTCGTGGGTTTGACCTATAGTGGGATCATGAGTGCGCACTGCTGAGGAGTCCCATACTAGGATGAAACAGTTATGGAGTACTCCCAGGTTTCCAAAGTTCCCCCAACTGATATCAGTCCATGATGAATTCCAACCTGAAAATCCATCTTAAATGAACTAGTTGTTATTAGAAGGTAACAGGTATACATTTTAAGAATATACTGAATTTGAAATTATATACACGAATGAAAGTGGTATTACGTAACAATTAAATTATCGATCATGAATAATTACAAACTGTTTTTATTTGGATTTATTTATTAGAAATGAGCTAGTAACTGATGAGTCATCATACACTTTAGCTGACAGCAATCAAATCACGGTTTAGAAAAATGCAACATCTTTTCTTCCGTATTAATCTCATCAATTCTCTATTGGTTTATTTCGACGTGATTTTACACATACTATCCAACTGCATCTTATCAATTATTCAGACAAACACCTTTTAATGGGTTGCATACCCTAGAACACGAAATTGAGTATGATATGTCTTGTAATTGGTGTGTATGTGTGTGTGTGTGTGTGTGTGTGTGTGTGGGGCGAATATTATGTTCCTCGTTATTTTTTAACCTATTCTTCGTGTTTTGGATATACATTCTATCTGTGAGACTGTAATGGTTCAATTTGAGCATAATTCTCTTCGAAACTCATATGGTAGTTTTTAATTTTGACCACTTATACGCTCTAGTTTGATCTATTAGAAGAGGATCGTGCGTTCTACTTTCAGCTGAGATTGGTCTATAAAGATAGACATGGGAAACAGTCGTACATTCTAATAATTTGGTTAGTTCTGGCCAGCAGACGGATCCAGGACGCGCATTTCGTCCTATTTGGGACTCGTCAGCTGGATGTACCTCCACCCCAGTGATATTGTTCTCACTGAGACTCGAACCCCGAACAATCCGATCCAACAAAACAACGGAGAATAACAAGTATATCAATAAATAGTAATAGCTACTACCCGTTGTGCAAGAAGTGGCTGTCGTCCCTCCGTGGTATAGTGGATAACGCCTTGGCGTTTGAAGCGATGGGTACGAGGTTCGAATCGCAGTGGGAACATCAACACTGGGGTGCAGTTACATCTAGCTGACGAGTCCCAAATAGGACGAAACGCGCGTCCTGGATTCTTCTGATAGCCACAACCAACCAAATTATCATAATTAACATTCAGGCAATATCGAGGCATCCGCATAGGAGCAGCTCATATGCCAATAGACGTTGAGTAATTCGATCCAACAAAACAACACAGAATAACAAGTATGTCAATAAATAGTGGTAAAAGTTGTACATTCGTTGCTAAGTATTTATTAGCTGCTTAGCTTCTTATTATATGTGACTAAATATTGACTATCTGATGTATAACTCACAGGATTTTGTTGTCATATTTGGATCCATTGTATATTAGTGACCGTTTATTTCATTAATACTCTCTTCTGACTTGATTGTATGCTTACAGTCAGTCATTCGATCAACAGTTCGATTCTTTGATATTCATTTCGTTGAGTTGTGGAATCGTATCCTGTCTAGTCTGATTCAACGAACTAGACATCATTTTCACTCACACATAAAGTACCGTCACCCAAAGTTGACGATGATAAACTATTTTGTTCAATGGTTTATCGTGATTATTCTAACTTCTCTTCTTTCACTGCATAGTATTTTTGTCCTACGGTATTGTTTTTACAACTTTTTTCCTTCTATTTTGTGCTAAATAATTTTTTCATAGGTTCACCAAGTACATCTCAATGCTTTCTTGTCCCTATGGCTACTGGTATGTCATTAACACTGTGTATGTTAGCAATGAAAAGACGTCGTCCGCCTGGAGCTAGATTTGTACTATGGTCTCGTATTGATCAAAAGTCGTGTTTCAAGTGTATGCTTGCTGCAGGTTAGTATACATTAATAAAGACTTTTTTTTATTGTAGTACTTTTTGTCAATAGAGGTTGAATAACTCAACCCAGTAAAACAACGGAGAATTACAAGCATATCAGGAAATAGTAATGACTAATACGCGTTGTACAAGAGGTGGCTATTGTCCCTCAGTGGATAACGCTATGTGGCGTTTGAAGCTATGGGTACGAGGTCCGAGTCTCAGTGAGAACAACATCACTCCACATTGGGGTGCGGGTACACCTAGTCGACAAGACTCAAGTAAGACGAAACACGCGTCCTAAGTTCTTCTGCTAACCGTAACCAAGTACATTACCCTGGTTAATGTTCAGGCAATATCGAGGCATCCTCATGGGAGCCCATATGCCAATAGAAGTCGAACAATTCGATCCAGTAAAGCAACAGAGAATTACAAGCAGTAACAGATAGATAAAATCAGTGTTGAGCTTCTCACACAAGAACATTAGTTCAAGTTGTCACACTTCACAGAAGTACACAAAGACTAGGTGGATAGAAAAGGAGTGATATCGAAGTGAATATGATCAAGCGACAGTAATGTGTCATGAATTCACATAGCACTTAGGGAAAACTTAGTGATTGAAGTGAAATAGAAATCTGGTCAACAGTCGGGTGTCGTAGCTCAGTTGGTAGAATACCGGCTCAGAAACCCAGTGGTTGCTGGTTTGAATTCTCCCGCGACCCAAATTTTCATTTCATATTTCAGTCGTTACCCAGTATTAAAGTGTATATAAGGCGTTGACACGAAGAAATTCACTAATTTACTTCTAGACAAGCGATGAATATGGGATGAAAACGGAAAAAATATTGATTTATGAATTCTTAACTGGCGTTGCTTGCGTTCCCTGGAATCACCATATGAGTAATGTTGGCATCACGCGAAGGGTAATAGGCAAGATAGGCAAGTCAGTCTATTGAGTTGTGAACCTTAGTCGACTCAGGTGACTTGGAAATGTGTTGCACATGCCGAGTTACTGCCTACCTCGATGTACCATGCTAGAGGAAGTTCGATTAAGTTAGAAGAGGGTTCATGATGACCAGATCAAGACTTGACACCAGTTGATCAACTCCTGACTGATAGTCTGAGTCGTATGAGAAAATGTAAGCTGCGGAACTGTGGTGCCCGAACGATTAGAATCAGTAGTCGAGAACTGACTCTTGGTTAAATGGTCGAAAATCGGTCACAGTGATGCAGATGTATGCATTACTTGGCATCTTCTAAAGATTGAATATTTCCATTATCCGTTATCTTCAGGCTGTTTATTCTCTCACACTACTTTATCTACTTTGATGTCACTCCTTTTCTATCCACCTGCTCTTCGTGTACTACTGTGGATTGTGGCAACTCGAGCCAATGCGAGTTTCTACCTTGATTTTATCGGTTAGTCACTCTCTCCATTCTTATTCATTTTATTATAGATATTCTTATAGAGGTCTTTCTTTCGTCACCTGACTACACAGAAGTTGACCTAATCGCGGGAGAATTCTCGTTAGACCTAGAATAAGCAGACGACATAGTCAGTCCTGTTAGGTGAAGACGCTGACAAGTTGCAGAGTTTTCTGGACACGTTGAGTGGAAATTTGCGAATGTTTGGGATGCGTTTCTCACCACCGAAATGCAAATTGTTCTCTTAGGATTGGTCTTCAATACTGCTTCAGCTAACAATAGACAGTGTAGTGGTTGAATGTATCGACCACTTCACTTACCTGCGAAGTGATGTAGGATCAGCCGAGACCTTGTGGGTAAGTGGCTGATGAAGTTTGTGCACGACTACTAAAGACTCGGTTGGCTTTTGCCAATTTACGCCACCTATGGGGCCGCCGTGATATCCGTTTGTCTATTAAGGATCGCATGTACTGCATAGGAGTCCGGTCTGTTCTACTGTATGGCTGTGAAACATGGCCATTGAAGGTAGAAGATATGAGAAGGCTTAAGGTGTTTGACCATCGTTGCCTTCGTAGTATACACCATATTCCGTGATGTCACCATGTAAGTAACGGAGAAGTCAGGTGTAGAGTTTTAGGCAGGAGAGTTAAGATAGTTGATGCGGTTGTGAACCTTGATTGACTGACATGGCTGAGACATCTTAAGGCTATACCGAATCTCACCATTTCTCATTCTTCCTTTCTCTCTTCGCGTACTTTATATTTCTTCGAATTGAATTTTCTTTTCCTCATCCTCCACTTTACTGCCTTTAACTTGATGTAATGATTGAGGTGTGGCAAGTTGGACCGTTACACAGTAATGCCTGGTCCTATGTTGATTTAGATGGTTGATCAGTAGTCAACTAAGGTAGAACAATATGGTTCCTAATTCAATTCATTTATAACATCTGTGTTGTTTATTGACTGTAAGAATGTTTCATTAGTGTTTAAGGATAGTTTTATGTAACGGAAATCAGTTAAAGCCAACTTACCGTTTAGGATGTGTTGATACAATTTATATGAAAAGCGTTTTATGTGATTATAAGCTTGATCGACGATTTGGCCTTCTCTAATCTCGATGATATGAAGACCAACTTCTTAAAGAATTGGAACGTGTTTTTATGTAACATGAATGACTAGCTTACATTTTTACTGACATTCGATAGTGTCCACTCATAATTTCAGAGAGTGAATTTTGTCACACATCAACCTAAAACTTCATTGGGTCACACTGAAGACTAGCTCATTATTGTTAAGTTTTCCATTCAGTAGTACAGTCGATGTTATAGTCTACATTTAACGTTTTGTGGGAAAATGTTCCTCATATATCACGAAAAGTTGTTTTCGAATGAAAGTTCTTTGACCTGCAAATTTCTTTCATTTTGAGCATACAGAATTGGATTAAGAAGCTGAAAACATTTTCAACTGATGGAAAAAAATTGTAGATGAATTTAGTGCTGATGATGAATCGTCCAAGAAAAAGTTTCAGAGATCAGAAGAAACCAGATTGTTGTCATCTTCATCTTTAGTTTACAAATCACAGGCTTGGATAAAGCATTTTGTATAATACTAAAGTACAAATTAATCTATTTAACGCTATACTGTCAACTTCATCATTTGCTTGTTCATTTATCTCTCTCTTTCCCTTCAGATTTAATTCCTATCCCGATTGAATTAGTCTCAGATCCTACGAACGACCAGTTATGTTCGAATCTTGAAGCTTTAGAAATTGCCTTACAAAATCCTGCTAAATATCTACTAAATCATTGGCCTAATGTTGCACAAGCCTATAACATAACTACCAATACAGCAGAACAATCGAATTGTAATAACATTGTATGCATTCTAACAACTACAAATTGTTTTGCACCTAGAACACCAGATAAGTACGTCTGTGTATATAATTGACTCATTATGTCGTACTTTATTGTTATCTGATCTGATAGGGTACTAATTAACTATAACGTAAACAACAAGTTCGACTCCATGGATGATAAAAAGTACGACTCAAACTATTCGCAGAAGAAAATCTTGTAGACGAGGAATAGTTGTTGTGATGAAAGTCAATTACAGCACAAAATTGGTTGTACAAAAATGTAATCTATATAAAGAAAGAATGGTAAGAATTTAAACAGCACAAGTATCACTCTGAGTAAGTTGTCAGCGTAATCAGGGCTTTGAATATAGCATGAATGCATGTTGTTAATTGTTGGTTTGAGCCATGTGGGACGATGCAGACTAGCCGGTTGGAGTATGCGGTAGAAGAGAAACCACTGTTTGGAGACTGTGCATGTTATGACTCATAATCGATATCAGTGGCACAGATATAATACACGCATTATCATCATCTCAGCTGCTATACTCAGTCTCATTATCTCCTCATTCCTCCTTCCTCTCGTTTACTACTTTCTACCTCTACTCCTTTTGACTGGTTTTTATTTCTTTCTTCATCTTCCATTTTATTGCTTTGTTACTTGGTGTGATAATTCGAGGTGTGACAAGTTGGATCGTTATGCAGTTGTTATATTTTCGAACGCCAACGGTCATATATTCCGAACGAATATAATACGCACACTTAGCCACCAGCTAACTTAGTACACAAGAGCCACTCACTGAATGCAACCCCAGGACGAAATAGAGAGAAGACCAAAACTAGGTGATGGAAGAGTTACTTCTCTGAGAATATAATATATTAATCAATCTCAAAACACGTGAGTAAGTACACACATGAAAAATAACCTTGTCCTCAATTTGAGGTATTTGCATAGTAAGAGTAAAGATTAATCAATCAGCGATTTACATTACAATGGGGGCAAAAAAAGACTACTTAGTCGTACCGTAAAAATTGGTGTGGGAATGACACGTTAAAATGCTCAAATCAGTAACAATGTTTGATACAAAACTGGGGAGTCACAACAGCAGTAATACCTGATCCTATATTGATCTTGATGATGATGACACAGCTGAGATCAATACCAAAATAGGACCGAGGATTACTGCGCAACGGCTGACGTTTCCAAGCCTCATGTCAGCTCATCAAGTAACAAAGCAATAAGATGAAAGATGAAAGAGAGAAGAATCGACCAAAAGCAGTAGGAAACAGTAAATGAAAGGAATGAGGAATGCTAAAACGCCGAATTCAGTGTAACAGTTAACATGATGATAATGTGTGTGTATATATTCGCGCCACTGATATCGATTCTAGACCATGTCACATAGAGACTCCAACCACTAATCTCTGTTGTCACACAGGCTCCTACCGGCTAGTCTACACCTCTCAACATGGTTCAGATCAACAGTCATGGACGTCATACACTGATACTATATTTTAGTCTGGTCACCACGAGCCGTTTTTCAGCCTAAATCTACTTTACCTAACACTGTTCGACAATATAGACGCTGATCAAGCATGCGCCACACGTGTACTAGCCACCTCAGTCAATGATGACTCGTAACCTCATCAACTGACTTTCCTCTCCTCCCTCAAACTCTCACCTGACTTCTGCGTTATTTACATGGTGACACCACGGAATACGGTCTATACTACGAAGACAATGGTGATCAAATACAAGGAGCCTTCCTGTGTTCTCCACTTTTAATGGGGATGTTTCACAGCTATACTATAAAACAGATCGAACTAAAGTGCATTACACTCTATCAATAATAGACAAACAGATAGCGTGGCTGTGCCACATATAGCATGAGTTGATGAAAGTTAATCAAGCTTTTTGTACCCAATCAGAGATTTCGTCGATCACCAGTCCACTAGGTCTGATTCGGCTTTCTAGGTAAATGAGGTGGTCAACGCACTCAATTACCACCCTCTCCATTGTTAGTCGGGGCGCCTCTGGACTTCAGTCCTGTAGCAATAGTTTGCACTTGGATAGAGAGAAATCCCCCCTAACATTCTCAAATTGCCACTCAAGATGTCCTGAGGACTCTGCATTTTGTTAGCGTCTTAACCTAACAGGACTATGTCATCTGCGTATTCTAGATCTACCAAGGATTCTCTTGTGATTAGATCAATCCCTATGATGTCAGGAAGGGGAATGGAGAGAGTGAACATCGACTAACACCACGCGATGTACACAGCTCACCTAACAACTCACCATACCCTGTAACACACTCCCGGGTGCTGGAGTAAACAACCCTCAAAAGAGTGATTTACTTAATCCGTACCCCTTCAGTGAAAGACTCTCCCATAAGATCTCTTGTTCGACGGAATCAAACGCCGCTTCAGGTCTAGAAATACAGCTAGTTTCGGTCGTCGGTAAGTCTACCTGTGTCCCAGAATCTGTCTGAGGGTGAAAATATGATCGATACACCATCGTCTAGATTTGAAAATTGCTTGGCTTCCTTCAGTTTATTGTTCTCGAGCTCCACTTAGGTGTTGGATAACTAAGATCCCCATAACTTTAAAGATGTCTCTCAAGACCAGGGAAATGATTACAATCTCTCATTCTCCAACCAAATACTTCATGTCACTCAACTTTCCAGTGACTAGATGAAGGTAATGAGAAGCAGTTCTAGTTATTTTTTCCAAGATTGCAGAGAGTGAAATAGGTAACAAAAATTTAGCGAAATATATAATTGATAACAGAGAAATGTATCATATAAAACGAATACTTATACTCAAATAGATCAACTAAACTGAAACAGCTTTGAAAGTACACTACGCTTGAGGCACTTAAATAAAACTAAGTGTGTACTTTCGAGCAAAATCATTGGATTTTTAAGGAACAATCTATGCATTGCTAGGACAAATATTTCGAAACGGTTTCCTGTTCAGATTCGTTAATAAGAAAATCAAATCAAAGGACCTAATTGAAGGAACACATTTAGCGCCGAAAAAAGATTTTTCTGTTGAATCTTGAATTTTTAAAAGTGATATTGCTGTAGACATCCTCAGGAAAGTACTGTCAAAATCCTTAAATAGATACATACTTTGCCGCCAATCTTCGAATTATTATTTCTCTTACAATAAACGTTTTGGTCAATGTATGAAAAACAAGCCAACGCATTGGGTCACATCAGTGTATGTATACCAGTTTACTTGATCTTGTGGAGCTGAGTACATCGACCGTACCATGCGTCGGCTTGTAAAGTGTGCCCGTGAACACTACCCAATACGGCTGGGAAAGAGAGAACGGAAATGTATCTTCAGTTCATTAACAGAACACCTTATGAACTTAGGCCACTTAACTTCTTTTGACAGATCATTTAAAATTCTCTACAGGGTTCAATCAAACCATTCGAAGGGAGTAAGATCAAGGCATTTGTTTATAGCTGAAACATTAGCCATCTAAAAGTTTAAACCATCGTTATGCTTCCAAAAAAGGTACGTCCAAGCTTTATGTTTGCCATGGCCATCATAAAGCCTTGACTATCATAGATTTATCCTGTATTAGGTAACTATACCTGTATTCCCATAATTCTTTGTTTATTTTCTACTCTGTCATAGACCTAACGTGGATTACGCAATTACAATCTTACTTTCATGACCCCCTGTTTACTTTCCTACTCTCTCATAGGTTTATCCGGTATTGGATAATTACATTTTATTTCATAATCCCCTGTCTACTTTCCCACTCTAAACCCAAATGTGTATTGACTAACTTCCTTTAGTTATTTAATATATTTTGCCTCCCAACCGGAAATAATTCTGGAGCGCTTTGACTACTGTAAACATATATTCACGAATGTGTACAGCTTAGTAAATGACCTCGTCGAAAAGAAAATTTTTTTTTCTCTGCAACGACGTCTTGTCTTTTCCTATAATCATATGAGTCTTATGAATTGATCTCGTTCAAAGATTGCAAATATGAACCCAAATTAAATACTATGTATGTAGTGAGCGTTGCTGATCAGAATGGATATAAGTAGTATATGTTGAGAGGGCAACAGATTCTGCCTAGAGAAACGCAAAAGACAACATAGACGTATTAAGAGCAGATCAAGGTAGAAGCAGAAGATGAAATGACTGTCTTAGTACAAGGTGTACAATATTTAATGACTACTGTACAAAATGTCACTAGTAAACTTTCCTACCTTCGTCTTGTCGTTTTCTACAATTTGTGTCGATGCTTCTGGATGTGATGAAGATTCCATGGCCTGCAGTTCTCAAGGATGGAGACATCAAGGTCTACCTCAAAGACTTCTAGTCGGTCATAGAGCTGGTGGATGTCCGGGATCTTAACATCGACACCAATTGTAGGAAACGAGAAGACTGAGAAACATGAAGGAATGTTTATTACTGACATCTTATGAGATAGTCATCAAATATTGTACACTTTCCACGAAAACCCGAATTAAATTCTGTTTATACCTTTATAACTATTCTATACATTAGTTGTAGATGAATGCACAACAAAGTATGGTAAACCAGTGAGTAACTCCTGTGTCGCCTGTAGTTGAAACAGTGCTGCCTAGATAGGTTAAAGAGGCTACTTCCTTTAAGTTTCTCCCGTTGATAGTGATTGGAGCTGTTGTTGGTGGTGGTGGCGTTGGTTGTGTATATTCATCACCTCTGTCTTCTCTACGTTCACTTGAAGTCCCGTCTTCGCTGCCCTGCCAGCCTCTTCTATCAACTTGTTGGTTTTTGCCTGTACATCTTCAAGTTTGTGTGATATTAGGCACAAGTCATCACTGACGAAATCCAAATCTTCTAGGATCTTTTCCCTGGTCGAGCTTATTCCCCTCTTCTCGCTTCTCGTTGTTTTTTGCATGATCCAGTCCACTACAATCAGGAATATCATGGGTGATAGTGGACAGCCTTGTTTTGCTCCTGTTTTTACTCAAAGGCATCACTGAGCTTCCCATTGTGAATTACTTGGCATGTGGCATCTTCATATAGTTGTTGAATGAGGTTGATAAAGGTTTGTAGTATTCCGTAGTGATGAAGCAGTTGCCTGCCAAATTACTTCTCAGTCGACGGTGTCAAAGGCCTTTTCAAAGCCGATGAAGTTGAGGTAGACCTAAGATACTAAGATAGGTCAACAATGATATTTTACACACCAAAAAGTATATCATCAACAAACAAGTCAATAACCAGATAAACAAATGAATATTCAGTTACACACTAGATAATAAGAATAAATAATGTATAGAAGATCACTTCAATTTGGTAAAGAATTTACTATGAAACTGCCTTTTTCAGAGTAGTTTATTTTGTATACTTGTGATCATTTGAATTGTGTCTTAGAGTATCATTTCAACCATCCTCATTGTGTTATCACCTGTGAGATTAGATCAAAATTCCCGATTGTATAGATTTTCTTTTTAAGTTTACATTTGATAATATTGTGTAGACAATATTAAAGGATGGTGTGTAATAATAGAATCAATCAATCAATATCAACATAGGACCAGGCATTACTGCGTAACGGTCCGAGTTGCCACACCTCATATCAGCACATCAAGTAAAAAGGTAGTGAGGTGAAGGATGAAGATAAGTGAATGCAGTCAAAAGAAATATAAAGTATGAGAAGAAAGAAAAAAGGAGTGGCAAAATGATGAGATTCGGTATGGTGTCGTTAAGATGAGGATAATGTGTGTGGGGATAAATCTGCACCACTGACATTGGTTCTGAGCCATATGATCACCTAGAGTCAGTCTCCAACCATTGGTTCCTCTTGTCCCTCAGACCCCAGTCAGCTAGTCTGCATCACCTACATGGCTTAAACCAACAGTCAGAGACTTCATACATTAGTGTGATGTTTTAGTCTGTCCACCTCGGGCCTTTTTCCAGCCTTGACCTACTTCAGCCAACATTGTGTGATGAGGCAATCGGTGACTGGGCATACATAGTACGTGTCCCAACCATCTCAGTCGATGAAGGTTCATAACCTCATCAACTGACTTAATAGTGTCGATATGGTACTTGTAGAAATGCTTCTCAACTTTTAGTCTGAGAAAGGTATCGAATTACTGTATAATACTATCACAAGCACAAATTCTTATTTATGCTCATTATCAAATGTGAACAAAAAATCCATGAGATTCTCACTTGTTTGTATCAATTGATAATGATTCTCTAGGAATGTTTTGAGAATGTACACATGTATGAACGACAATCGAAGGAAACAATCAATCACAGACCACATCGTCAGAACAAGCCACTAAATTACTGACGGAGGGATATTAACAGCTCACTTCATACTTAAGGTTAGTGCTGAAGATGTCTAGAAAGATGATGAAAGCTTCACGAATAAACAAGCCAGCTCAGAGAGCACAATACAACCACGACCATCCACCTAAGCTACGAATATTTTCCACTATTTCAAAATCAAACAATCTTTAAACGTAAGATAGATTGTGAAAAAGCATTCACAGAGCGTTCAACATTTCCACACACACACACACACACACACTTTCGAATCTACAGATTGATGAAGCTAGTCACAGATTTACTCATATAGAAGTTGCGCATTCTAAGCACTTAAGATCTACGCATTATAAATGTTACGCAACCAATTAAAGATATGTGATAAAAATTATTTTTCAATAGAGAATAGATAAGAACATGATGTGATAGTGTTCGGCATTCTATGCTATTCACCAATAAACTATCTAATTCACTTCATTCATATGATTCGGTGGCTGGCAATAAGAAGTTTGTTTGCATCTTCGTTGTATTATGTTCTCTGGGTTGGATTGGTTAGTCATCATGTAGCTTTCATTGTCTTTCTAGACGATACCCGGAAAATCAATACAGCCAATGACACAACAATCACAAACCACTTCCTCAGGGTAGGCTACTAAATCACTGACGGAGAGATATTTACAGCTCACTTCATACTGAAATTAGTGGTGATGATGTCGTCTAGAAAAACGATGAAAGCTTCACGATTAAATAAGTCAGCTCAGAGAACACAATACACCCAAGTGAAGTACATATGAACAATTTTATGTGTATGACAGTTCCTAGAATATCATTGTGGAATCAGCTAAAATAATTGTACAAACAAACTTAACAACATAAGGTTGTGTTCTACTTTTGTGAAATTGGATTTTCCTACTAAAACTAGGGTTAGTTGTGATATCTAGAAACCTTTGATCATGATTGAATCAGTATACACCACTGCGCCCAGTAACTTCAATGCATCCTATGTTTTCTGCATTATAGCACCTTCCATTCCCCTCTTTTTTGATGTTATGTATGGCTGGAAAAGCTTGAAAAGGCGATCAATTTGGCAAAGGATCTTAAAATGGAGGATTTTTTTTTCCAAAATTTCTGGATATGTGTAGATTGCTTTTCTCAGCAACATAAATACAGCGTTCCGTGTTTTTGTTCAGGAAATATTGTCTGTTTTCAAAGTTTCTTTTTCTTTACATGCTCTAGATTACATGCGATCACTAAACTCTGCATAAAATATGGTGTATCACACTTGATCAATAATGCTTACGGTGTACAGTCACCTCGTTGTATGCGAATGATTGAATCAGCGGGAAAATTGATTATGGAACAGAAATCCAACCCCACAGGTAATTAAGCCATATCTTTATGCATAAACTGATGAAGTTATAACTCGTTTGGTGATTTGTTGGGATCGTTTAGTTCCTAGTAGTTGTCGTCACGGGCTGACATCAGCTAGCGAAATACCTGAAAACCTGTGAGCACAGGTTAGCTTTTTCGTTCTAATTTAAGACTCCTTTGAAGTGCTCACCCCTGACCCCCGAAAGCCATTGGATCTCTTGACTAGCATGTTGTCACTTAGTTGGTGTGTTGGAACCCAATAGTTCATGCTTTCATAATCATCTGTCAACATTGGACCAAGCATTACTGTGTAACGGTCCAACTTGCCACACCTCTTATCATTACATCAAGTAAACGCAGTAAAGGGAGGATGAGAACAGAAAATTCAGTCAAAACAAATATAAAGTACGAAAAGAGAGAAAGGAAGAATGAGAAAAATGGTGAGATCCAGTACCGCGGTAATATGAGGATAATGTATGTATACATGTGCACCATTTACTTCGATTCTGAACCATGTGTCACCTAAAGTCTCCAACTACTTGTTCCTCTTGTCCTGCAAACTCCAGCCAGCTAGTCTGCATCGCCTCACATGACTCACACCAACAGTGAAACACTTCATACATTGATCCCATGTTTTAGTCTGGCCGAGAGCCAAGAGCCTTTTCCCAGCCTCAACCCACTTCGGCTAACATTGTGAGACAAGACACACGGTGGTTAGGTATACGTAACAAATGTCTCAGCCATGTCAGTGGATCAAGTTTCACAACCGCATCAACTATCTTAACTCTCCTGCCTAAAACTCTACACCTGACTTCTGAGTTCCTTACATGGTGACATCACGGAATATAGTGTATACTACGAAGGCAACGATGGTCAAACACCTGAAGCCTTCTCATATCTTCTACCTTCAATGGCCATGTTCATGCTTCCCTATTCAGTCAGATGATGTGTTTGGAATGCATTCATTGAAAGGGATTTTCATTACAAAGCACTTAGCGGAATAATAACTAATTCCCTTTTGATGATTAGGTTTGTAATATGTTTTCTGCAACTTTAAAATGAGGTCAATGGTCTGAGCAGTTAACCGAATCTGAAATAGATGCTCACTGAAAATGTTGAATAATGGTAGTGCTTTATAAAAAAAAATAGGTAAGCGAATCTGTGGATTCCATCTTGTTAGTGGAGTAATCACGTTTTTGAATCAATGCTTGAAAATGTTGGACTCTGTATCGTAAAAAGGTCAGAAGTAACTAAATTTTTCAAGTTGGTATTCATCATGGACTGATATCAGTTGGAGGAACATTCGGAACACGGGAGATGCCTCAGCAGTGTCCACCCATGACCCTACCCCACACCCTGGGATCGAACCCAGGACCTTCAAGTTCCGTGGACAGCACGTTACCATTGAGCCACTAGGTCAGAATCCAATGGTCCAAATTCCCTACTTCTATCAGATCACTACAGAGGATGTAATGAATATCAGCTTGAAAAAATTACTAAGTGCCCGCAAAGCCCCCAAATTAAACTAAATTGCCAATGCATTCTAGTGTGTAGTAGCTCCCAAAAAGCTCATGTCATTTGTGATGGAAACTATCTTTAAACTAACACTAGTCCTTTAAGTCTTCGATTGTTGATCTAAATGATGTAGACTACTTCACTGGGGCTCTCGTGATAGATAACACGAGTCATTGGTTGCAGACTCTTGGTGTTGTGGTTCAAAGTCAATCCAAATGATACAGACGTCTTTATCATCTTCGAAGTCTTGGTTACCTTTCAAGATTTCACCTACTTATCGCCTCATACACTTTTATCAATTTTTATATCATTCTTTTTCTGTCCACCTTTTCTTTGTATCTTGTTGCATAGTGTGACAATTTGAACTCATGAAATTTTGTTCTAGGTTTCTACGTTCATATGTCTATCTAGCTGAGTTTATTAGCTCAGTCGTCTGGTGAATCATTCAATTACTGACCAACACTATCTCAAATACTTATAATTTAGCTCATTTCTGATAAGAATAAAAAGATGTGTCTGATTAGGTGATTCGATAAGCTGTAATATTTTATCATAGACTTTTTACTTGCTGAAAACTGACTAAACAAATCAATAATCAAAAATACTGTTGGTAACCAGTTTCATAATTTCAGTGAATTTTAAAATCACAGAGCTCAAAGTGTAACAAAAATCCATTCTTCAATACACAGTTGGAAAACACTGAAGATCATAAAAAACACTATCTAAACATTTGATAACATTTGAGCATTCCTATTATTTTATGTATACATCTTTCATTCATATGAGGAATAGGGGTGGATTAGAAAAAGCGTAAGTAGTTGAGTTACATGTGAAGCAATCGAGTGAATAATAATACATATATGAACGATGTTTAATAATGATGAGACACGTGAACTGAGTACGAATAGCCATTGTTCCCCTTCGGAACCTTGTACTTTACCAAGCCTCAAAAATTATCAGAAGACAAAAGACTGGGCTGTGACTGTAGGGAAGATGCCTTATTCGACAAAAATATATCATTTATATACACTTTTCATGAACATATAAGATCACTCGGTTTAGAGTTAAATAGTTTATCCTTACTGGTCAACTGTAGGACGAAATTGTCTAATAAGGTTTTTCCTCACCACACATTAACACGAAACAAAAGTTCAAATCGAAAACTCCCACATTAGCGGCTGATGACTTAAAATGCTGATTTCCAATAAAACCGCTTCCTATCAAAATCTACGACTTGATAGACACGTGTATTATTGTCTGGTTGTCGTCGTGTAGAGTGTAGTCTCAGTATTCCCGAAAGCTGTTGGTTCTCGTTACCAACTAAGTTTCTTTTTACATTCAGTCATGTCATTCTCAATATATCAAGGAAGTTAGTTTGTTTTGTTTGGTGGTGGCGAGCAGTAGAGTTTTAGACGCACGTTTCGTCCTATTTGGGATTCGTCAGCTGAATGTCCCTGTCACCGAGAATATAACCCAGCTGACGAGTCCCAAATAGGACGAAAGACAAGTCCTAGATTCACTGCTCTCTACCACCTAGCCAATTCCTATATAATCAATAATCAGACAGTATCAAGGCATCCTCACAGAAGCCATATGCTAACAGTGTTCAATTGAATGGACTCAGAATAACAGCCAGAAATTACAAGGTATCGATGAGTAATAACAAGTTAGTAGTGTATTTGTTGGTTCGTGATATTTTATCGATTAATTTTGTTGCATACCTTCACTTTAGTGTCCTTAATACAGGACATTCCTAGTGCATCAGTGTGGGTTTTTTTTTCTATCTAGGATACAGATCACATTAACTTGTTGATATCAAAACACGTACCATGTACTTAGATGAAATTTGATTAGATTCTTACAGTCTAATGTAAATAGCATAGTTATCAGTATGTGATTATAAATTATGGGCTACTTTAAAGGTTACCCTAACAACTGTTAAAATGACCAATCAGGTTGTGGCATTTTGGCTGGGAAGACAATTTTGCATAGAATAGGGAAACATGATTAGCTGTTTCATCGGTAGCTGTAGATTTCGGGGGAGGGGGGGGGGTGTTGAGGACTTAATCAATGACACTAGGTCAACAGCACTTTTTAAACAGAAGGGATGAGAAAGAAGCTGAAATGTACACAATTGCTGCTAGCTTGTGGAAAAAGTGACTGGTTTCCTTGAAAGGCTTTCATGGTTGTACTCTTATCGAAAACGTAATAGCCATCCGAACCGTCACTAGTGAAGAATAGAGTGTTGTGTGTACACTTGAAGGACTAGAATCAGTCCAGAGTTTCGTTTAATTTCTCACTTTTCAGTCGGAGTCGAAGTGATACAACAAGGGATACTACCCACATCAATCTGAATCATCAAATAGTGTATTATATCACAGTGTATGGACATGTACATGGTTGCTAAGTTGTGCGACTATTCTTAGGATCAGATTCATTACTATTAGTAGCGAACGTCGTTGATAGAACTGTTACGTGACGTATTGGAGTAAGCTGTAGTTTCATCATTTAAATGCTTCGATGTTCAGAAGAAGTGTTGCAAATGTGTGAACCAGCACCTCAGATAGACTGAAGGCATACAACAGCGTCTCTTCATTGGTACAAACCAGCAGTCGGGTGTAACGAAGTTGCTCATTTTCGCCATTCCCTACCAACATCGTCATCGATGATATTCTTGAATAGTAGCGATGTGTAAATTCGCTACCAAAAGCAAAGGTGTTAGACGTCGAGTATGCCGACTATACCATCGTAGTGTGCCACAGCATATGTACTACTGACGTCTTACTTGATCACTTAGTACCATTAGCATTGTTCACGTTAAACAATCGAAGCGAAGTATCATTTTACAATTTGAGCAGAGAATTGAGTCTGCTTTCACCTTTGGTGATGAACCATTTAAACAGTTGTATATCTAGGTGTCTGTATGAGCTCTGTAAATCATTGATGTATGTGACTTTAAATGATCTGTACAAAACTTTGTACAGAACTTTAGTACAAATAATTCTAATGTACACATACAGACCTGGTTTCTCCAAACTGAAGATATCCGACAATTGTATACCCGTGTATGTGTGATTGAATGTTGACAATAGTACTTTAGACGTCAGTTTCTAATTCATCTATTCCTACTAATCTCATACTCTCTACAAATGTGAGTGTAGAAAACTGACGAATTCAGCCGACTTGGTATGTAGATAGTCTGATTTTGGAGTTCAATTTCACCTAGTAGTTTGTGAACCATGCGTATTATATCAGTCAGTTAACAAGGATAATTCCTGAGGTCTTGAACTATTTATAAATAATAATACTAATAAGTAGCATAACTTAACCCCGGTCATGTATTCATGGGTCACACATGTTGTGTAAAGCTTATCGTGAGTGGCTGAGGGACAACGTAGAATCTCGCACACAAATGCATCATCTCAAGTTGTACTACACAAAGAACAGATGGCTAGACAAAGTGATATCAAAGCAGATGAAGCTATGTGAGAGAATAAACATTTGAAGATAAAGGTTAGAGCAAACATTCAAGCTTTAGATGTCAAGGAGTAAATGTTATCTGTGCCATTGTGTCACAAAGACTCCTCAACCACTGACTCCTTTTGTCTTAGGGACGCCAATCAGGCAGTCTACATTTCTCCCACACGATTCAAGCCAACAGTTACGGACTTAATTAACTCGTGCCAAGTGTTGATTTAGCCACCCTGAACACTCTTTCAAACCTAAAACCTATCACTTCAGTGTAGGTAGTAACAGATGGAGTGAAAGTTGAAATACACAACAACACTTCTGTCTTATTTTATATTTTTGTGTATTTCTTCTTATCTATAGACAGTGAAGATGTTAATCACGCCATCGACTTATTGTATGTACAAAGCACAGATAAAAATCTATTGGTACCAGTTGGTGGAGCAATTATTGCTGGATTCTCTTCAGATTTAGTCAATTCTGTAGGTAAACTTTATCCAGGTAAGATGATGCTTTATTCAGTCTGAATTACTTTTATTTCATTATTTTTCTCAATTTCTATGTATTGATAATTTGATTTACTCAGAGTATTCTTTTCCGTTATAACATTCGTCTATTGCTTTTCTTCTTTGAGCATATAAGAAATTATATCTGAAGGTTTATGGAGTTTTATTAATTGATTTTAGGTTGAAATTCATCGTGGACTGGCATCTGTTGGGGGAACATTCGAAACCCGGGAGCAATGAACAGCTATTTCGTCTTAGTATCGGACTCCTCAGCAGTGTGCACCAATGATCCCTCCAGAGATGTCAGTCCATGATGAATTCCAACCTAAAATCAATTAATAAATCTCCACAAACCGAATTAATCTAGCGCTCATTGGTGTCTAGCTTCAAGAGGTGATTCCTGAAGTTCCAATGAGAAGTCGTGACCAATGGAGTCAACCAAGTCGGACATGAGGATTGTTACTCAACAATGACATTGGATGTAGGTCGTACTACATAGTGAACTGACAGAAATAGGAAATATGGACCATTGGATTCCAATCCAGTGGCTGAATGGTAATGTGCTGGTCATGAAACCTGGAGGTCGTGGGTGTGCACCGCCGATGAGTCCCAAACAAGGACGAAATGATTGTCCAGTGCTTTTGATTATTCAATGTTCCTCCGACTACTGTCGTCCACGATGAATTCCAACCTAAAATATAAGAAGTTAGTTTACTTCACTGAAGGCTTTATTGTAGATTTATATAAAGTTGAGAACGAGAGAATACTGAGCAAACGTCTCTTCCCTAGTGCAAGACTCTTTATGAGTGATAACACACTACTCTAAGTGATATGATTGTGCATAAAACTTGGATTTCAATTCATGAATTCAAATCTTCCAGTTTGTGTCGATTCGTTCCATAGGGGTACTACTATCCTTCATTGTTATTGAGGAGATATTTCATCGTTACCTACCAATTTGATTGACCTCATAGGTCATCAATTTATATTTCAACGTGAAAAGATTTATTACGAAATCGGTCACTAGTGAGTTTCTGTTAAAAAATGGTTGCGTATTGTTTTTGTTGTTACACTTTCAGTGGCGTTGCAAAATTTGATGACCTTCAACCAAAATGGTCTTGTAATGTAAACTCTTGTCGCTTAACATCTTGTTCAGTGAGTATATCAATGAACTCACATAATATTCATTTTGTGTTCCCATCATTTATACAAAGTATTGTACACATACTTATTTGGAGATACACCTGACCATACTTCTCTAACACTTGTACTGTTTCACAGCTAATACTAGGAATTTTATTTATTATTATTATTTATCCCTTGGGTTCCTAGTGTAACATAGGGCTTCAGTTGTACTTCGCCATTTCACTCTCTTCTCCACAGTCTTTCCAACCTAGCTTTACCACTGCCCACAAGCTTTCATTTCTTCTTCACACCATCTCCTCTGTCACCCTCGCTTCGGATGCCTAACTCGTTGTTTCCCATTCGGGTTCCACTCGAGGGCCTGGCCTGATGCGTGATAACCCCAAATCGTCTTCTCAGTCTATGTCCAATCCAACCCAATCCATCTCCACCTTCTTATTCTACATATTTGTTGGGCGATAGGTCTTTGGTTGGTTGGTTCATTGCCAGGCAGTCAGCCAGAGTTCCTTGTTGTTTATTCTTTTTATTCTGGTCATCCATCTGATCTTCAGTGTCAGTATCAAGTGAGTGTAGGTGGCAGCTGTTGATGTATGTATGAAGTTTGTTGGAAATATCTTTCGTATCATACCTTATAGTATTGAAATAGTTAGCGATGTACAAATCACTTATTATCAAGTCATTGATATTCTTTCCGTATCGAAAACTTTCATATTTATTCATGCTGCGTTTTATTCAACCTTGTGATGTTCTGATTAGCCCCTACCATTTCTTATATGATTGTTGTTCGTTTTTTTATCAACGTAATCATGTGCAGAATGCTGAGAAAGCGTATACAATTGCATTCATTTCTGTTCTCTAAAACGGCTATGAGACATAACCTTTAAAAGTAGAAGACATGAAGCGGTTACCTGGTTTTGATCATAGATGTCTTCGTAGCATTGTTTGCGTTTCGGTAAAATCATGATATAAGCTGTATTGAGGTTAGATGAAAGGTATTAGGCAAGTCAGTTGATAAGGTTATGAACCGTAGTCAATGGAAATGGCTTGTACATGTACTGTTTATGTTGAATCACCGTCTGCTTGAATCTGCCATGCTATTGTTGTGATTCGAAACTGGTGTATGCTATGGCCACTAAAGATGCATGGATATTGACTGTCATCGTCAACATTTAACAAATTCCTAGTTGATTCCCGACCTCACTAATCAATGAAGAAGACACGATAGACGTATAGAAACATGTAGTAGGGTCGAATGATCGAATACCAAAAAAAAGTAAAATGCACCTAATATATAGATAGTTCGCTGTTTAAAATAATCTTAGTGACTAACTGATCCACCGACTATCTGTCTAACTGTAGACGTGACAACATAAAGTCCATTTTGATTGGTCCCTCACCAGACTAGTCATTTCTCTCTATCCTCATATCACCTCCCTTTTCGAAAGAATGTTATTTGGGGCCGCAGTGTCTTTTTATTGCATCTATCTGACTGACACAGATGGAGTTTCCCCTTGTTTACTGGGAATCAGTAGTCTTATCGGTATTCTTTCGGTGGGCGGGTACATGAGTATGAAAATAAGCTATCAAGCCAAGAAATTCACCTACCGATTGACAATAGGATCTCCGGCGGTATCTGGAAAATGAACTTTGTATATGTGATTGTGTGTGATGGTGGCAAAAGCCGTCCTTATGTCTCCCAGCATTACAGTCCCGGAATGGTTGTTGTTTAGGTGGACAAGATTTGACGAAATGCCAGCAAGGCGATAAAAGTGTCTTCTTTTAGGGTCGGTTGGTATCATTTGAGTTACTGCAACGATGAACAGGTGAGATAAGACGATGAGGTGTGTGGCCAGTGGATGATGCGGAGGAATGAGATGTCTGGAGAATTGTATATACTCCAGAAACCACCCTGGCGTCCGAATTGGGCTAAACTTCTATCACGCTGCAAGTTGGCCAGTCGTTGATATTCTACAGACATGTCATTCGGTGTCTGGGTTGTGGCGTCAAAAGTGCGATCACGTTGGTTCTGTGGTGAAACCATGTTGTAGTATTGGTCTAGCTCATGTGAACCAAGCTTTCGAATTGGGAAACGTACCCTCCTGGAGTCATTTTGGTCAGATAAATCCACTTTGAAGTAGTCTTCTTAACGCCTGAATTACTCCTCGAAAGTCTTACTGGCATCAGGAGCGTAGTGAAATTCATTGATGCTATTGGCGATGCCATCAACCGAAGGAGCTATTAAAAATTGCATAGTGGGCTATGATTCAGTGCCAGAAATTTTGGATAATCCTCATTTGTTGTCCGAGGAAATTGTTCAACTTCGAAGAATCCATTTCCCAATATTCCACTTCCGTTGCCACTGTTGTGATTCGAAACTGTTATAGCTAGAGGAAGTTGGATTAAGTTGGAAGAGGGTTCAGGGTAGCCAGATCAAGATGTGGCATCATTGAACACTTTACCACATATCCGTAAACCTCAAGAGAGATGTTTTTGACTTTGACTCAGTAAGATAAATGATTAGTCAGTCAACTTTGAATCGTAGTGGTTCCACTTTTTATAGTTTTCTAAGAAATACTGTTCTAAAACTTCATCATCATCATCATCTATCAACATAGGACCAGGCATTACTGCGTAACGGTCCGAGTTGCCACACCTCATATTACTACATCAAGTAGAAAGGCAGTGAGGTGAAGGATGAAGATAAGAGAATGCAGTCAAAAGAAATATAAAGTATGAGAAGAAAGAAAAGAGGAGTGGCAAAATGATGAGATTCGGTATAGTGTCGTTAAGATGAGGATAATGTGTGTGGGGATAAATCTGCACCACTGACATTGGTTCTGAGTCATATGATCACCTAGAGTCAGTCTCCAACCACTGGTTCCTCTTGTCCCTCAGACCCCAGTCAGCTAGTCTGCATCACCCTACATGGCTTAAACCAAGAGTCAAAGACTTCATACATTGGTGCCATGTTTTAGTCTGTCCACCTCGTGCCTTTTTCCAGCCTTGACCTACTTCAGCCAACATTGTGTGACGAGGCAATCGGTGACTAGCACACTTATTCAAATATATACCGTTATTCTTTTGACCGCTAGACGGTTTTTATTTCTATTTTTATGTTAACTCATTTCTTGTGTGAATATAACTCAGTATGTTGAGGTTCTCATTAGTATCTTTCATCTTGTTATTTTTCTCCTGAAAACATGTATGTACATGTAGGTCGTGCCTCAGGAACGCCAACTTTGGATGTTTTAGCTACCCTCCTTTTTCTTGGTAGAAAAGGTTGGAATGATTTAATTCAAAACCAGTCTGTTTGTTTTACTCACCTTCAGAATGGATTAAAACAATTGGCTAACAAACATAATTTGAAATTGTTAGAAACAACTTCAAATCCTATTTCATTGGCATTGAGCTTAGAAAATCTTCTCCCAATGAAAATTATCTCACAGTCTGATGAAGTAGAAGAACAGAAGAATTTTTTAAGCACTAGTGAGTTGAAGGAAGTAATTTTGGAGATGACACAAATTGGTGCTAATCTCTTTACTCAAGGATGTTCTGGTGTCAGGTAGGTTTAGACAGATGAAGCTGTCTGTGTTTGTAATAATCACCTTCACAGTGCTGAACGTTTCACACTGTAGTTTTTGTCCATTTTGACTCCTTTTGTTAGTTTCCTATTGATTAGCATACACTCCTTTGGAATGAATAGTAAATTTGTGAAGTGTTGAATACCTTTAAAAACGTGGAACTCTCTTTAGATATCCTTCGATTCTTCCGCCTAAACAGTTATTCCCTGTTATCTCGAACTGCAGATTAGTAAGCTGTACCAAGTAGAGCCAAATAGCTTCTATATATCCTAATCATAAATGATATTCGAGAATTCATATAGTTTTTTTTAAAGCCGCAAATATATATTCTTTACTATCTATCTCAGACACAAACGTAGTACAACATTAGCACTAGTCTAGTACTTTTTCATAGTTTTATATGACGGTTGTGTCCCTGTCTTGATATTCAAACCGTAATAGATAGTTGTCTTAAGCCGCTACTACTCTATCCTTTCACTTGAGATCTAATCTACAGGACAATAGAACAATGAGGACTATATTCCCATGGTTGTCGGTGATCAAAGTACGTTGCCATGTCATTCATTCTTTCTGATTCTTAGTGCCAATGTACACCACCGGTTCGGAATCAAGGTTTGTCAGCTCATTTAGGTGGACCGTCGATATGCATTGATCTGCCTTTGACTTCTAACTTTTATGGAGATAACCACATCATGGGAAAGCTGCCTATGCGTCATATTTACAACTTGTATTTCAAACTGATCCTACATGGTGACGAAATAGATACTCCGTGTGTTAGTAGTGTTGTTTGTTCTCTGTGCCCTACAATCCCATATCCGCTATGTGATTCGTACTTTTCCTTTTTCAGGGTTAAAAGCGAAATAGTTGTAATTCCAAGTTTGTGTAGTCTACATACATAAGGTTGCCTAGATGCTCATCATGTAGTAAATCAATCCCTGAGAGGTCAGACGTAGTTTGGACTACCACTATCATCACACCTATGACCGAGTTAAGTAGGAATTCAGGTTAGTATTCGTTATGAACTGATATCACAGTCGGACAACCAATGAAAACCTCACAGCACTCCACAGCTTCTCCATCCTTGCCAAGAATCGAACTCAGGACCTTCAGGTTTCACGGCGAGCACATTGCCATTGGACCACACTAGGTAAAAGTGGACCAACCATGTTTCAAAGTTGTGGAGTTGTCTTGATATGAATATAGACAATAAATTATTTCCGAAATGTTATCCAGTAAGTAATACTTCCACTATTGGATACATTTAATGAATCAACTTAACCTTATAAACTTTTAATTCCATTTAAGTTCATTCATATAATTCACTTCTTGCCAACTTAATAATAATAATAATAATGATAATAATAATAATAATAATAATAATAATAATAATTTTATCCCAAACAAGACTTGTGGAAAACAGTGTGTAATTCTCAACATGTAATTGTCCAGCAAATTCATTCCCTGTACAATGTTTTTCGGCGAAATGATCATTACATATGAATAATGTTACTAATAATAGTAATAACAGCCACAGTGGAGAAATAAGCACCTGGTAGTATATAGTAGCGTCTGATTTGGACTGGTGAATGAAAAGAATATCGAGCATAATTTTGGTGGTGGTAGTTTATTCATCACTCAATACGATAATCCGCAGTTTGACATAGCCATCAGAGGAATAGTAATCTACTGCATTTCTTTGAATTTATAATCCCATCTCTTGTTAGTGTATCGTTTATTCTTTATTTCTCTGTTAGCTTGAAAAATGACAGTTTGAAACAATTCTAAAAATGCGCCAGTGTACTTGACACGTTTAAAAGGCACATTTGTATGATTCAAACAAAACGAAGGGGATGGGTTTGGTGAAATAAATTCGGTGGAAAATTTTTAGTATTCATCATGAAGTGACATCAGTTAGAAGAACATTGGAACCTGGGAGCACTGGAAAGCTGTTTTGTCCCACTTGGATGTGACTCTTCAGTAGTGCGCACTCCACGACCTTCAATTTCCGTGGCCACCACGTTACCATTGAGCCACTCGATCGGGATCCAATGGTCCATATTTCCAACCTTTTCCAACCAGTTCAGGATGTAGCGCGACCGCCACCCAACGTCATTGTTGAATATTTGTGTTCACGGCCACTAGATTTGCCCCACTGGTCACAATTTCTCCATTGAAACTTCGGTAGTCACCTCTCGAAGCCAATCACCAATAAGTACTAATTCAATTGAATTTTGGGCTTTGTGGGGACTTAAAATTTTTTTTCGAGTTGGTCAGACCATTGGATTCCGACCCACTAGATGAATGGTAACGTGCTAGCCACAGAACTTGAAGGTCGCCGGTTCGATCCCCGGTTGGGTCATGGATGCAGACTGCTGAGGAGTTTAACACTGGTGAGATGAAATATCTGTCCATCGCTCCCAGGTTTCGAATGCTCCTCCAATTGATATCAGTGCATGATGAATACCAACTTGAAAAAAGAATCTCTAAATCCCTAAAAACCCCTTGCTCAAATTTTCAGTAGCTCAAAGTTTAAGCAAACCACCATGTGTTGGTTGGCTACCAAGCCTAGAACGGGACCTTCTATACTTCTGGTTACTTTTATTATTCATATTTGTAGATGAATCTCATTTTATTAGTATAGGAACTTGAATGTATATGTACTATTTCAGTAGTTTGTTGTTTTTTCTACCTGCATATTTTTTCACTATCATTACCATAGTACTGTTTATTGTTGTCATTTCTTCCTAACTGAAATCGATTGTGTGTCTTTTTTTTCCTTTAAAAAAAAAAATTTGAAATATCATTCTCAGAGTTGTTCTCCCTGCATCTATGCAAAATTCAACTAAATTAGATGTCTATGAATTTCTTGGTTTCAATTCTCATAGTTCAACATCTACAATACCGTATATAAATGCAGCTGCTGCAATTGGTCAAAAACAATCTGATATCAACATTTTTATACAACGACTTGATAAAGCTTTAGATCATTTAAAACGTGTTATTCATAAGGAATGTATTAATAATAATGGTTTAGTAAATCCTTCTAATTGTAATCTATCAAGCGCCGTTAATAGGATATAGTAAAAGTCAGTTATACATACCACTGTAATATCTATATGATTGTATTCAATGTTCAGTTATTATTATTATCAATTATTTTGTTTTATTTTATTATTTTGTATATATACTACTCACTTTTTGGTCAGTCATACATTACAATTTTTATTATTATTATTATTATTATGCGGATTCTCACTTCATTCATTCATGACACTTGCGATTATTAGATGATTATGTAAAGCTCATCTCAACATTGCTTTGTTCATTTCCTTTTGTCATCTCTACATATTCTACAGTTCCTTTTAAATCATTATTTGTTTCCATATATATGAACAATGAACTGGCGAAAAACTAAAGGAGTATTTTTATTGGAAGCTAACCTATAACTTTGACTACCTTCTGCTTCTTTCGTTAAGCATTCATGAGGTCATTCCCTTAGCATTTTGTTCTTTTTCTCTCTCTCTCTGTTTTAGTTTATTTGATACTGAAGAGAGAATCATGTTTACTTTTTTGAAGAAAGCTGACTTTTTCTTTTTGTATACTGATAAACTGGTATTTGCCAACAGAGACTGATTTCGGTAGGTTTAGGCAGTTGAAATCCAATAACAACTGAACCATTGATTCAAAACTTATCTATTGGGTGGGGTTTTGTGTTTAAGGTTGTTTTGTTTTTTGGCAAAAGAAATAATCTGGTCTACATTGCCAACCACTTTATAAGTTTGTATTTATGTTGGATACTTAAGGTGGATTTGCATACATACCTAGCGGTATATCAATACGCTTGTTGGGTGTGGCCTTTTGTTCGAAATTAACATTATTCATCAGTATAAGGTTGCAGTTTACTCACTACTGTTTTCATCGAGTTTACTGAACAGACTGAGCCAACTTGCAGGATAATAATTCTGCATGCTTTCAGGGTATTCTCTGTGAACTAGATTGTCGATGGACTGTTTTATTTAGCCTACATTATCAAATAGATTAGTTCGAATAGCTACAGTCATCTTCCTGTCTTACGTGTGTTACTTTTAACCATAAGCTCGAACCCTTTCCTGGGTCTTGTTGGACAGATACCATCGTTTCAGAAAAAGAGAAATGTGGAAGTTGAATACTTGCAATTATGTTGACATTTTAATTAAGAAGTTATTTAACTGTATTCCTATCTGTGTTATTAAGTCGTCTCAACTCGCCTATTTTTTCAACACTTCGTTTATCACACATGAAAAATGTTTATCTATTATTCACACGTATATCATTCTGTTTTCTCGGTACAAAATGATCCTCTTTAGATATGTACATGGTAAAGGTACAGTTCACGTGTGTTTACTGATTAGTTGTGTGTGCTATGGATAAATGAATATTAGGATTACACATTAGAAGTTCATTAACTGTGCAGTTGAAATTGTGCTCGAATGACGTCATTTGACGTTCACAAGATAACGTCTAGCTCAAGAATATGGATGTGGGTAGTGAGTTTATGTTATTCATAACATGATTTGTGTGTATATACACTTGAGAGTTACATCATAATATTGGATAAAGTAATTTCGTGTAGAATGTAACTTTTAAAGATGTGAATATTTGTTATTGTTTCACTGATAAAAGTAGTGTAATTTTTCGTGTTGAGTGTAAACCTGATTCCCTGTACTTGGAATTCATATAAAGGTTTGTCTACGGTGTAGTTAACAGTTTTGCTGGATTTGGTAATGTATCTTTAGCCAGTGGTTTCATCATGCATTAATATATATCCACTGGTGTTTGTGATGTTTGTTTGACATAAGAAGAAAGAGAAAAACGTTTCTACGGATTTGTTAAGAGATGCCAAATGATATAGCTGTTAGGACAGCGTTGATCGATGCCTTTCACTCAAACTTTTAAAATGTTGACACTGAGCTAATTAACAAGGCACCCTACTTAAACCTTTGGTGTACCTCATTTTATCATGGAATATATTGCATTAAACGTCTTCTTTCTATACTGTTTTAATCGTCCAATTATGTCAACTAATCGTTGATAGGCAAATTATGAAGAAGCACCATGGTGGATGGCATCAAGCTCTCAAGCTTGTGATCAAATGACTGTTTTGGAAAGACTTAAGACAAACTGCGGGTCATTACCGAAGAAAATTGATTACCTTCAGTCACTCTTATCTACAAATACTTAATGGAAACATAACTTTATAACCTGTAGGATGACGATTTAGTTGACTTAAATGGTTTCAAATTATTTCGACAAGCTCGAAGCTTATCCAAAAAGAAATGTGGTGGGGGTGTGGCAACCTGTATCAATGCAAACTGCTCCACCCCCAACTATGTTCGCTGACCGAATTATATCGATCATTTTGCAATGTGGTTAGCTCAGCATCGCGATGCAGTCTAATGGAGGCAATTGGCTGGAAGCCTTGCTTGACCTAGGTTTCGCACTTGTTGGGACTCGTTAGCAGGGCGTATCTGCAACCTCGGCGGGACTGATGTCATGCCTGAAATTCGAACCCGCGTCACCCAGTTTTGTAGTGAGTGACGTTATCACTGGGATATTTAGGTCCTGACTGATAGATTTCAATGGGAATCAAGAACTCAACAGCTACATAATTTACTCTTCGGTAAACAGTTTGTTTCGGTCAATGAATTGGTGAGGGTGCTGGCGTATGTGAAGCACCTACATTGATGTGCGATGTTATTCGAAGTAGCATTAGGTTGGAAAAAGGATCATGGTGACTAGATCAAGGTGTGCTAGCAGCTCATAAAGTCTTTTACCTGGTATAAGCTGTGTATATTGCCTGGTCGTAGAGATGCTTGAAATCAATGATTGGTGACATTGCTGAAAGTCAGTTAAAATGCTGCAGATATATTCATTCTTTGAGGTCCTCTAAAGTGTGTTGACCTTCGTTTCTCAAGTTCTTATTCCTCTACTACAATTTCACTTGCCCTAAAATTTTTTTATTTTGACCGTTTTGCTTTTCTACGTTGATTCATCTCGCTGCCAGCTATGTAAACAGTCTCACTTTAGCACTCAATGATGTGTTCAGATCTTGAAAGCGAACATGATCTCAGGTCTTGATTCCTGAAGAGTGAGGAACAACTCGAAACGCAGGTGTAGAGCTTACTGACTGATGGCTAACATAATTAAAGTCTGTGTAAATAGTCGGAATAACTCAGGTATCAGATTAAAATTTTTATAATGCAGGAATAGAACGTGGTCAGAAAAGACATAGAAGTAAGAAACAGTTTGTATTATATGAGTAGTTAACAAAGTTGTGGAACACTGAGAACTTGATGCTTTGAAACACAGGGAGTATCGAGGCATCCGCACGGGAGCCCATATGCCAATAGAGACAGATCAATTGGGTCCAGTCAACAAACAAGCAGTAACACTAATGACCTAAATTGTTTATTTTGTTTTCATGACAGGATCATAAGACTATACTTATAAATAGGCAGACAGATAAAGTATTGCCTGAATTTTCACGGACTCATATCATTCGACTGCACAAACCGGATCTTTGTGTACGGCAAGAGTTGGTCATCACTTTAAATATAGTGTAGTGAGTACTACTGATAAGAATGGATATAAGTAGTATACTGTGAGAGGCCCACAGAAGTCATAGGTAATTGCAAGTGATGGGTAAATATTTTTCACAAAGAAACACAAAAGACAACATGGGTATATGAAGACCAAAATCACATAGAAGAAGAAGAGGAAATGAAACACATTGTGGAAATGAATATTTTAATGTAAAGATTACAGTATTTCATCAGTAATGTACAACGTGTCATCATAAACGTACTTCTGCATTTCATCCTCTGTCGTTTCCTTACAAAGATTCTGTCAGCCAGTACAAAAATCTACAATTCCATATAGGTTTCTTAGGAATATTAATGTACTCTATTCTTGAGCATTTACAAGTCCCTTTCCATCCGGCATAACGTTTTTGGTTAGCTTGAGAAGCAACTGTTTGAAAAAATTTAAAAAATCTGAGAGAGTGCAGGATACATTTAGAAGACATAATCGAAAGATTTAGACAAACTGAAAGAGAAGAATTTGATGAAATAGATTCGGTGGAAAATGTTTGGTAGCCTAAAGTTTAGGTAGGCCACCTTTTAACAGCTTCTTAAGTCAGTTATGCTTTTTACCCAATCCTTGCGTTCTGCTCTTTCTTTCCTCGACCACTTTGTCATGTTTTCCTTCGATGATACTTACTTCATGTGTTCTAAAGCACGAGTTAGGAGGCAGATATATTTCATGAATGCAGTATTTCTTCCTAGTCACTGTCTTATTGAGTTGTACAGTTGATATACACAAGACGAATGAGGTTGAATATGAAACTAAAATGCCAATAAAGGTAATAGATTGTTCAAGATAAGTAAACTAAAGATCGGATTACTGCCAGTAAACCTCGTAAACCAATAACCATGAAGAAGACTTTGTCGAATTCAATGATTTAACTTATGCCTATGTAACCGTTATGTAGTATAATGGACTTCACACAAATAATTGTATGTAGGTTTATAATACCATCTAGCTACTTCTTGACCGAGGTATACGGAACTGGGTTTGGACCCTGGATTTAATAGTCAAAAAGTAAGTACTTGAGGCGATGAGCTTCGCATTCACAGGTTATATATCGTTATCAGTATAGTTCACACACATAAATGATAAAAATGTTAGCCTTTCTAATGACTTGTGCTTAACACTATTAGACATTTCGGAGGTTTATTGGGATGTATTTATTGATTTCTAGTTGAGATTTATCATGGATTTAAATTGGTTGTAGAACCACTGAAGTCTGAAAGCAATAGACAGCTGTTTCGTTCTAGTATGGGGCACATCAGCAGTGTGCACCCATGACTCTGACGAAGATTGAAGCCAAGACACTATCTGGTTCCTCTTTGCTTACCCGTGTATATAAAAACAATACAAAGGACATCTTTACGTCGGTCAGTCAGTCATTATGACAAAATGGGAGACATAACATTGAGCAACATCCCTGAAGAGACCTGTGTGGATGAACACTAGAACTCTTT